GCGGGGATGGGGGTTGGTATGGGTGGGGGGTAAACATTCCACGGTGATATTCAGAATCGGGCTTTCCTCGGTGGTGATTGATCGAGTGTTGTTTTTCGATGCTTAAAATTGAATAATGAAAAGTAATTCGCAATGAAGTGAGCCGATGAAAACCGTCACAAAGCCACAACATTATAACTGGTCTATTTTCGTAATTCTGCAAGAGTTGAAGTTTTAGTATTTATTTAAATAAGTGAAGTTGTCTGAGCTCGCCGTATTCTGAGTGGGAGTCGCGGCTGGGAAAGGGTCTCGGCCCCTTCCGAGGGTCAAGTCCGCCGCTGAATGCAAAACAAACCCCCCCTTTCTCTTCTTCTCCAATTACAGGCCAGGGAAGAATGTCACAGCGGATGTTTATTAATGGCGCCAATGAAAAATGACTCCCTGTCCCCGTGTGACCCGGGAAGAGAAGCGAAAATTAAATTCCACAAAAATCGAGCCCTCTTTGGTCCTCTCTGATAATACGGCCCTGCGGGACGCCGAGGCTTTTTCCCGAAGTCGCGGGGATTCCGTATCGGGAAAGTCTCCAGAAAAATCCACAAATGGACAGGAGAGTGAAACGCTCTGCGCATTTTCCTCCAGATTCCTGCGAGGCAAATTCAGATTTATTTCATCATTAGTCCCTTCAGTCCCTAAGGATAATTATGTAAATTTATAGGTCCACCTGGAGCAGCTTAGGAGACCTAATATTGCAAGACCGTATCGTGAAAGTGTGGTTTACGAAATACCTGAGAGCAGGTTAACTTTTAATTATTGTAATATTATGAAACTATGGAATAAATATGAAATTTAAATAGGTTTGAATAAACCCATATACTTCAGTTAGTTCAATAATTCATGAGCATCTTAATGAGCATTAAATTCAGTAGTTATATATTTTCCTATAAATTTATTACGAATGTAGGCCTAGTTCTCGAAAATCCAACGCTAAGGTATGGGGCGAGAGGATGGGGCCTCATTAGAGGAAGTGAGGGTAATAATATCAGGCGTGACCTCTGTTGAAAGGCCAGAAGAGGGGGGAGGGGGGGGGGGGGACAGATATCGAAGAGTACATGCGCGCCTTCCCCGCTATAGAATGGAATGGCAATAGGACGGGATATTATTGGAGGGATAGTGGTGCGAGGCTACTGATAGCCCCGCCCCCGGCGCCTCGTCATTGGTAGACATCCATCCCCCCCCCCCCCTTCCCTTCTTCTCTTTGATATCCCCTATCATTATGATCCGACAGTGTAGAGCACACGCACGGCCTGATCTCGTGTGAGAAGTCCACTTGCATATCGAGGAAGATCTCGCTCGTCGCGTGTGGGTTGTTGTATGTGTCAAGAAGATTCCCAAGCCGACGCCAAAATTCGCGTGAAACCGTCTCACCCCGTTCCCCTGTCCAGCCGGCGGATGGACGAACCCCACCTCGTAAGACTTTTTTTTCTTCTCCCTGCTTCTTCTTGCTCCCTCCTCCTTCCTTCTTCCTTCTTCCTACACGACCTCTGGCTCTCACTCCTTTTTCTGCACTGTGCATGTCTGAGTGTTTGTGTGGAGGGCAAGTGCTGCTGGACACAATCATGGCTGGTGTCAACGGGTCAGTTCCCCGCCGGGTTCTCGTGTGTCGGGTTTTGGGGAATGGATGGGGAGTAATATGCAAGAAGGGGGAGGCAAAGGCGTATGAAGGCACATCTGCTGCGTTGTAATCCGACACTCGGCATGACTTTAGACCAGAATCTCAAGCCTAGCCTGAGGGAAATCGAAGAAGGAGGCGGAGGCCATATTGAGCCCTGAATCGAAATCACATGTCGCTTTTGGGGGAAAGAAAGAGAGAAGGGGTTGTTTTTCCACTTTCCAGCCATGGGAGCAATTACAGATTCTCCTAATCGATAAAAGATCCTGAGGAAAATTCTTGCCCTCGGGGGGGCTTTTCGGGGTATTTTGATGGCTCCAGGATTATTCTTCCTTCCACCCTTCTTCTCCGGAATAATGAAAAACTCCGGGGCAACCCCGCCGATCTATCGAGATTCCTTCGTAGATTACCCCCAGAGATCGAATTTCGGCTGGGGCTGTGTTATAGCCCGGCCTTGGGCCCGGATTTTCCAACTGTCTGGCTTTTATGAGGACCCCCATATCGCACGATGATCACGGCCCGATATCGCAACCATCGGAAAATATTCGGACCCAGACCTGTCTACGGTATAGACAGACGTAGACACACCTGCATGCCTGTCCCTATCTTGCAGATTCACCTTGGCACACGAATCTCGTGTCTGATTACGTCACGAGACCAAAGAGGATGGCCAAATGCACGATCCCTTGCTTACATTACATGCGGATGTTTGATTTCTCTCGTTTCCTTCTTTTCCTCCGTCGTGTAGAAGAGACGGAGACGTACTAGATCCATCCGAGTCCATCCCTCGTTTGTTCAAACGGGAATGATTGAGACCTTGACACCTGTGTTGTCCCTGATTGCGGGATGAAAACAAGTCTGTTGACACTCGATAACGTCTACCGCCGCCACCCCTTGCAGCCCTCCAAACAAACTTGCACCGTTCGTCTTCGATTATCTGGTCTTCAGAAAAGTTCCGATCGTGCTCTGGGCCTAGAATTGTGATTATGGAGATTTATTACTCGGGTATCACGCTACACTTGATTGCAGCTGCCCGTAAAGCAGGCTTGGTCCACACCCGACCGAAATGCAAGATGTCGGTTGGGCCAGAATGAGGGTGGAAAAAAAGGAGAAATCGGGGCCAGGCCTATAATAAAATGGGAAGCGAGAGATGTGAGCCGTACAGGAGAACAGGGATTAGAAGCCCCCAACCGTCCCAAGGGGGGGAAATTTCCATTTGAATTGGAATCTCTTTGGAAGGTCGTAAATCAGAGTGGACAGTGGTCAAGAGAGAGAGAGAGGGCCCAAGAATCCCAAGAGTGACCAAATGCCCTGGGGTTTTTATTCACTTGCACCTGGGATCCATATGCGCAATTGCGGGGCATCGAAGAGCCTCCTTGACCGTTGACACTCCCCTCCCTCTCTCTTATATACTATTTATATATCTTTCCTCTGAATGGAGAGTTTTGGGACCGTTTCCACCTCGACCATCAACATCCCCTCCAGATCCGCAGTCTTCGGGGAATCCACAGAAATTTCGAAATTTTAGATCCCCGTCCACGCGTGAAGGTATAGAACCTGGCATTGGATGAGGTCCAGCACTCAACGATGCATTCTTATCCGAATTTCTTTCACTGACGTCACTAGCAACTCACGGTGGAATGATGTTTAGGCAACCGGACGGCTATTCCAGGCGATGGAAATGAGGAAGGTAGGCAATCTGATGCCAGGAGCCCGGAAATGAGAGCGTTTAGCTCCCTCCGACTGTATCTGGCACTGATAAGGATGGGCTTGTTGTTTGAGGCATCATTTGGGAGTTGCAGGGGTTCTTATTGCAATTAAAAAGAAGAGGTATTAGTTTCGTTTCAAGAATGAATTGTCGTCTATAACTACACTTGCAGGAGAGAACAACATCTAATAATAAATAATTAAATTTCCAATAAGGTTGCCTCATGTCAGAAGCCAATACCAAATCAGTAATGATAGTTTTAAGGAAAAATGACCCCATAATGTAGTGTGAGGATTTCTTCGTTAGTGGTTTCGGTATACCAATTAATCCTTGATTTGAATTATTAATTTTTGTACGCGTACTGGTGGCTTCATGATGTAACTAATTTAGATAATTTGTTTGTGGTTGCTCGATGTAAATCAGAGCTTTGAGTGAATCGTAGTCCAGAGTTCAGCTGTGCTAAGACAGACAAGAATGCAGATGGCCATTGTTAGCCATTGCCCCACGACTTAATGTTGCAGAGTTACAGTTGTACCAACTATCTGGGAACAATAATCGTAATTTCTGATAGGTGAATCCGAATTTAAAAGTATTGATGATGAGACGATATCAGTTGAACTAAAACTGACCTAGTTTGAAAGTGGGATTGGTATCAGATGAACTAAGGAGCCCATCAGTAGATCAGACATTTTTGGTGAACTGATCTAATTCACGCAAGTAATTTATTTCGAGAATGTTATTTACCTATACCTCCTAACTCACACCCGTGATCAATTTTGCTACCTATTGCTGTACTATTAGTCCATAGAATTCTATTCACCGACACAGTTGGAAGGTCGCGATGCACTCTAGATTACAGAAGTGATTTGTGACTCAGAAATTGAGATATGGTGTTCGCAAACTCTTACAATCTTGGTGTGGATTTGTCGGTCTCAATACAAAAAGTGCAGATCTCTTAGGGGCAATAGAACGGGATTAAAGTCTACATGATACGCCCATCTCACGTGCATTCACGCGCGCTATCGGAACAATTTCAGGTTTGTTCGGCGAGGGGAAAAAAAAATAGTTTTTTTTCCCCCTCCCTCTGTCTGCCCCGATCTGCAGTGTTTTCTTATGGCATGAAGGAGAAAGAAGGGCTTGGCTTCCTGCCCTGCCTCGGCATTCCGACCCCACGAATGTTTGATTTCCCTACAGACAGAGGGGAAGAAGAGAGAAGAAGAGACTAAAAGAAGTATGTGATCGGTAAATAGTATCTCTGCGCCCCCTTCGTTGTTTTGACACTCGGCTTTATCCCCAGAAGAGAGTAGGTCTACGGGTCTTTGTGCTTTCTGCGGCTTTCCCTTATTATCCTTCGCAGGAAAGAAATGAACCATTTCTTGATGGAGGCTGCTCATGCCAATGTAAACTTGAGCTTCACTCCCCGCTCTCATTTGCGGAACAAGAAAAACTTCAACCCGATCCGTTCGCTGATGAACCCTGAAATCGGTTATGTTTTTGTTGCTTTTCTTTTTCACGCGAACAATCGAAACTGCTTGTCTTCGGTCTATACATAGAAGCCACGGTTGATGGAACGAGTCAGAAGGCTATATTGAAAGACATCTTGGCAGGACGCCAAAGCACTGGACTGGCCAGTGACCTGAGGAAATGCTTCAGGTTATCATATGAGGTTATAATTCATTACTTATCTCCCGGTACCTCCTGTAGGCCGTCCGACCTGAGTTTTGTGGCCGAGACGGCCAGTAGAGGGCAGAGTCGATCAATGGAAAGGAAAGGCACGTGGAATATCAGAGGTGGAGAGATGACTAGCATTTTTCCCCCTCGCAAGTTGTCCCATTTTATCATTGATTGATGGTCGGGACTCGCCTCCTGCAGTTGAATGTCTCTGCCATTATTTATGCGTTGTGAGGACCCCCCTGAGGTCGAGGCTGATATCAAGCCGTCTCCGACCCCCCGGCGCTTTGTTGACGAATCACGGACTCTGGCCGTCGCATTGTTTCTCACTATGAGGTCTCGTCTCAAAAATCCATACATTACCAGCCCACGATAAGACCCATACAATGGTGGACCTCGGAAGGTGTAGCGTGGACCCCATCCGATTTTTTCCTCCCCCCCCTGATAATGGAATGTCCATTCCATTGAGATTGTTGCATAAACACCTGTCCTCTATCCTGACTCGTCTTGCGCCGCCTTGTTTGCCGTCTCTGTTGCTCCGGTGTTTGGGTAAAGTTGAAAAAAAAAAAACTTTTTTTTTTTTCTCTCTCGCTTTTCCTCTAGTCCGGCTCAGGGGGCGAAGGGGAAGGTAGTGAAGGGGACGTCGGGAGTGAGGGAACGAGTCAGAGTCACCCCGATGAGCAAACACCTGACGACGATTACCTCAGCAAATTCAGGCAACAGGTGAGTCTAGTCCATATGATCCTTGGGGAGCCTCTCTTCAGCTGCACCGACTCATGCATGTGTTTCGTGCCACATTCTTCCTCCCGGCAACACTTGTGCCACCCTTTGTGGTATTCACAGATGAACTGTAAAAGCTTAAAATCTAGGTCGAATGATAAAGAGATTGTGGGAAAATTTCAGGGTCTACGATTTCGTGCATATTATATGAGGCTAGAAAATATCATATGAGAAGAATGTCTGAGAAGAATCGGATGTCAATTTTTTCTGAGAAAGAAATTGAAGGTCCGTGTTGAAGTATCATTGCAAGCATCATTATAATTTGAAAAATCCGTAATAATTACTTTCTTAATTTTCTTAAGAAAATATATTTGGTGATCTTTATGTTTACGCATCGGCAGGAACGTGAAGAACGACAAGAAATAGAGGCGGAGTTGCGACAAGCTACGACGGGCCTCTTCGGGTCGCAACGAGGAGGGGGTTCCCCGCTAGGATTACCCCTGTTACCCGGGATGAGGGGGCCACCTCGAGTGCCCTTCTTACCTGTCGGTACCCCACCTCCTCCTTCCTCCACCGCCTCTTCCCCCACTGAGTCCACCACCCCCTCCCAGTCTGCTTGGAGCTTCGAGGAACAGTTCAAACAGGTAGGTCAAGCTTCTTTGAAAATCCTGTCATTACATTTTGAGCATGAACTTATCGTGGTTCCAACTCTGATGCCCTTCTGGAACCATCTCTGGCACGAACAATTCGTGCATGATGTAATCTTGGAGAGTCCTTCCTTTCTCGGCGTGGCTTTCAGCAGAGGACATATAGGAACCTCATTGGGAAAGAATGAAAGTGTATCAGGGGACAGTTTGAACTGTGAGGGAATGGATGATCCCAGCGATGAGAGACACGGGGAGGGGGGAATGTATTGTTCGGGGTTGTCACCAACGTCCCGAGATCAACTTTCTTTTTTCTTTTTTGTCTTCAGACCCCGACAAGAAAAGAAGGGGAAGCCGGAGAGTATCTCATTGAATGATCCCTGCACACATGTGCACACTTCTCTAAGCTTCCCCATAGTGTTTACACTGGAGTAAAAATAGCCTGGGAGCCATCATTAAAAATTCCCTCGACAATAAGGAGCGCCGGTGTGTTCATTAAGTCTGCTACACCCATTGCCCAGATACAAATGAGTCCCGGGGACATTGATGGATTCTCCATATGTGTTTCTTTTCCTTCGGCCTCCCCTCCTCTTGATGCGTCTTCCTTGCAAGGATCTGCGCTCTCTCCTATCAGTAATCTCCACTGGTCTATACATTGGCCCAAAGTGACTTCATGTCTGCATGGTGTGTCATGTTTGTCTAGAAGACAAGAAAAGCACCATCCACGAGTGCCAGGGGTTATTTCAGCTTGTATTTATGCTTGTTTTGATTTAATCAAGGGGTGTAGTACTTTTCCTCTACACATCTGCGCACCTTCAAGGCATTGAATGATTCAACTTTCTATAATTAAATGCTGAGCAAGAGCCACCATAGCTCGACCTCAAATGAGATGAGAGAGAATGGCTGAGTCATTACCGGTACTTCACGATTTATCTCGTTCATATATAGTACACGGCGGTATCTTGAGTTGATCCCCATCGCGGTCAGTGCATGCAAGCGTGATTCACAGTCTTGACTCATTGCCATCCGTGAATGGTTAATGTCCAAGTGCCATAGAGACAAAAGGACAAAGAAATTTTAAAAATCACTGTAGGCGTATTTCTTGAACGCTGATGAATTTATAGAGCACCCTCATGGGACAGGGAGACTTAAACGAATGACATCGTGGTCCTCCATCATCCTCCATGTTTTTTCGTCTTCGCTTCAACACATTTCCATTCCCAAAGCCCATGTATAATGACCACCGATTTCGGGGACTGTGAATTTCCCTTTATGACACAGCGTGTTGCACCAACATGAACGAAAAGGAGTTCAAGAAACGATGAATCGGTACTTTCGCCATCGAATCGCGCCAAAGCTCCTGACACAGTTTCAGGGATGTATGAGCCAATAGGGGATGAGAAGCTCGTTATCTCCGCTAACGAGTGGAGTCGGGAGCCATGCGCTTTTGTATGAAGAAAAATCAAGGTAGTCCAAAGCAGACAGACCAATTGTGTAACCTTAAAAAATTAGCCTGTCAGCCCTAACCTTTCCTAGTTGCTGTAAAACGACAAAATTCCTAGATCTGTGAACATTAAGGGGCCTTTGAATATGCTTCCTTGGAACCCGAAGCATAAACATCAAGTATTTATCAAGTGTATTTTTGGAAGTAAATTTTAATTACATTTTCCCCTTTCATTTCACTTAGGTAGCATCAGTTCGACATGTATCATCAAATGGTCACGAATAGTAATCGTAAGTCGTACAGAAACTCGATTTGAGCCTTCCGCAAAGTCGAAAAGGAAACGGAAGAAATGACTAACTGGTTCCGTGTTGGACCCCCTCCTGCTGGAATGGCGAAAAAACAGCGAGAGTGCATGGAACGACTGAGTGTCTGAATTTCTCTTATTCCTAAAGCAATCTTAGGCCCATTGTCTTAAAAAAAAGGGTAATGGGAATGGGACACCAAATTCTGGCATTACGTGAATTGTAATGCCAAGATGTAATGACCCGGCGATGCCAGATCCCTATTTCTTTCCTGCCACTTTCTGCCTTTACAGTTGCCAGTCATTTGAACGTCGACGTTACCTTTCATTTCAAAGAAGGCAGTACATTGCTGATTTATTCTGTCATAACGGTTTGAGGCACTCATTTTTAAGTCTTTAGCCCACTGCCTCAGGCAGGCCAAGTTTTTCCGATTGCTTTCAGTACCTTGCATGTACCGGAAATAGTTTTTATTGCTTTTCACAACCAGTTTTGTGCTGAATGCTTGCGACCTTCTGTTTGAACTGCGGGTAGGCTGGCACCAGGTACCGAGTATCTCCCCATATATTTCCCAGTAAATGGGGAGGGGGCAGATCAGGTATTGTCACTGTATAATCGCGTAGTGGTAGACAGGGGCTTCCTTCCACAAATGGAAAAGCTAGTTCAACTGAATTCAATTGAAAGAAGCCTTTGTTACTCTTAAACTGACCGCCTGCCCTCGCCGATGCTGAAACTTTTTCTCAGCCCTCAAGCTTCAATTGCACTTGTTGGTGAGCGTAATGTACACTTTTTGGTGTGCTTCAAGGGATGCCAAAGCTTCACATTGAGAGGACCGAAGACTTAAAAGTGCTTGAAATCGTTATGAAATCAGGGTCTTCCAGCCGTCCTCTGGTGGGGTTCAGATGTTGAAACGAAGTGTTCTTTGGCTAGGTATTTCATTGCTGCCGGTGCGGTAGAAATCATTTCTATTATCAAGTTATCGGGAGTCCTTTTCATTTCTCCCATTTACTAGCCACTAAAATATATTTCCCTATGTATTTTAAGCGTAGGAGTGCTTTTCCCCTGCGACTGAAAGCATTTGCATTTCGTTATAATTTCGTGGCGGCATTACAAGCTCAGCGTCTACGTATATATTTTACATGCTATTGATTAAAGCCAGCAAGCGCGGAAGGACCCCTTCCAATGCCTTTAAGCAAAGCAGTTATTGCCATTTCGGTCAAAACAGTCCATTGTAAGAGAAAGTAATGGTTGCAGTCCTCCATCTCCCGTTACCCTCTCGTAGATGCAGCAATCTCGTTCAAATGCGGCAGCTGTTGTAGATTTTAAAAATTTTTTTTCTCTCTCCAGAGCTTAACTGAGCTCTACATATTCCCACCTGCAGTGCGGTTGTCCATTGCATTCATCCCATATACCATTTGAGAAAGGGTACACCTTTGTTCTCTTTCGAGCTCAACGTTTCCTCAGGATGAGCCGAATCATATTCGTGGCCCTCTGCATCATTCTGGATCAAGATGAAGGAATTTACTTTATGGCGCTAATTTTGCAACTTTTTTTTTCCTCGATCAGCTTCAGATTACGTTGCTTTATACAGAAATACCTGCCTCCAGATACGCGAAAGTTGTGCCACTGAAAGAGCAGCTATGTTGAACTATCCTTACATATACAGAGTGTAACGGCTAAGACGACACAGTAATTAGGGTTGCCTAAACACGAATACACGCGCCTCGAACAATCGACTGGACGCGAACCAACTCTACTTCCCCGTTTCCCTCGTCTGACAATGATGAGATTAGATCAGTATGTGGCCCGTGTGAATCATGTTGAGGCAAAGCGAGTCCGTCATCTTGGCTGTTACACACTGAAATAGTTCAAGTGTGAGAAATCTGGAAGGGGAAAATGTGATGCACGACTGTCGGTGGGCTCCGGGGCAGTCTATTTATCCCGTTCATTGTGCGGCAGACCCTCATGATCGGCTGATTCCCCGAGGCTGTATCAGCGTGTTATTTTTAGTTCCTGGAAAATATCAAGAAAGAGGAGGGTTCGGAACATGGGTGAGGTGATCTCAAAGGATTAGACCGAATGTTGGTCGGGCCGGCCATCAATTATCCACGGCCCGAGTGAATAATCCTCCCGGTTTTTCTATAGAGGGCAAGGAAATGTGTCCGGAGCATGATAGATGGGATCATGCGATAGGGATTCGACCTCACATGTAGAGAGAAAGGGTCAACCCCCCAGCGGCCCCCATATTAAAAAAAAAGGTCGTTGACATGAATCTTTTGTGCAGGCATGGGAACACCGGGCTGAAAACGGGTTATTCCGCCTGGTGATTGATACTGCTTTTTTTTTTACTTCTTTCTTCTCTTCCACTTCTTTTCCCACCCTGCCATACAAGTATGTGGATTCCGAACGAATTCGGATCCTATCGGTGTCTAGGATCTGGGTTTATTTTCTTGTCCCCTATCATTAGCCGGCAGTCTCCAGGATTTCCCAGGTTCGGCGTTCACCGAGTTCATTGAAGGAACATATTGCAAACGATAGGTGGAGGCATCTTCGTCTCCATTTTCTTGCTCCCCCTCATCTGGTGAATGGTTTGGTTCGAAATCGTCACCGCATTTGACCTTGGCTTGCCTCACTTGATATCTCAGATGACGGGCATCTAAACTTTGTTTTTCTCCTTTTGTAATATACCGATTTCACCTTAATTCATTTTCTGGTAGCTTGATAGTCCAACAGAACATAGGCATGTGAATGACACGTTTGAATATCAGCTTTTCTGCGATTTCATCCGAGGTAGGGTAAGCAGTTTTTTTTTGTACGATAGCCGCTGCCTGTGGCTTCTTTTTTATTCCATCTGTTGAGGCACGGAAGAACCTCGCCTCCGTGCCACTCCGCACCCATTTCGGGGCGTGATACATCACGAGTTTCCCGTTATCAGAATGTTGCGTTTCGCACTGTCCAATAAGGCATTAGCATTTTTGCCCATTACATCCGAGGAAAGTCATATCGGCTCGTATTTACCCATTATACAAGGGTGTCTGCCAATATGTAAAAGATTTGTAATGCATGAGTAGTGCATGTTGTGACGACGGGTGGCGAGGAATCCTTCACGAATTACCTGCAAGAGTCCACAGGCACGGGAAGTCCGAGTAGGGGTTCTGCTTATCGTGGCTCCGTCATGGTGGCAACGGTTTCCTGTTCTTTCGATTTCCTTCTCCGCTTTCATCGCCGGATCCACATGTGTATATTAGCCGAGGTGGCTGCCACATGGCGCAGCCAGTTATATGGAGTACCATGGGGATTTGGATCCCTTGCCCAGGGAAAGCGGCAAGATGTGAAGGAAAACTGGGTGGACCACTGGATTTCCCATTCATTTCTTTGTATTCGGAGACAGACGAACACTTGGAAAGTGTCAGGTTATACTTTTGAGGAAGTGAGGTCTCTCAGGATACATCGTCGATAGTGAACAATAAAGGCGGGGTAGTCTTGCTGAATTTCCAGGACTCCGCCGATGCAGATTATTGAAGGGAGAATTCTCATTCGACTCTCAAGGGCTCAGGAATTATTGGAGAATGTACAACGTCGTTTCATTTCGTCCTCAAATAGCCTCTTTACCGAGTTCCACCAAAAAGACTTTATGGTCTCCATGGGAGGGTCTTTCCGTGGCTCCCGCGCTCTCAATTTTGAGTCTGCCTCTTGGGGCCACTTTCATCGCCCGGTGGAGGATGTTTACAGCGGACACTGGGCTTCGAGTGTCAAGTGATGACATTACGAAAGGCGGGTGTGTTGGGAACCTTGTAGTCTATATCAGCTCCGTTCATAGGATCCGTGCGGATATATCTTGCTTGTCGGCACTTGTATAATCGGCAGTTATTTCCGTTTTATACCCGACTTGATATCCTCCGCTTCCTTCCCTTTTCCCACGTTTTCTTCTCTATATCACCCCCTTCATCCTGTATGTCTGTGAGGGTGCGTCGTACTGTACTGGCCTCATGCATCTGTTGCGATTGAAAATGCCGCCCTCCCCCATTATCGCTGCCCCTTTCATTGTTCTCGCAGATTCCTCTCGAACAAAAGCCTCGACGATGAAATGGATGCGAAATGCTTTGGAAGTTGTGTGGAAGTGAAACTATAATGAGCAAAAAAAAGCGCATCCAAAGAAAAGGTGCATAGCTTTTGATTCAGTCGGCCCCAAGTCGGACAAGCACAACTCGATAAACGCTCTAGACTGGAAAAGAAAGTTATTTTGCGAAATTTCTGGTCTGATCAAGGGGAATAATGAGCCAACTGATTGGGTGGTTGATTGGAAGCGTGGTTGGGGAGTGAAAGTGGGGAAAGATGGGGAAGTGGATGGGATGGGGAACTCAATCAAAGTTGCAATTCCTCAGACGGCTTGCGCTTTTTCCCACCCGTGCATGTCAAGTGCTCATTCAAGGGCCAATATCCCGCCGAGCCCTCTTCGGGCGCACTTCTGCTTGACTACAATCATATAAACTCCTTCATTCTCCCTATTTCTCCCTCATCGAAGAGACTTAATCGTGGGGATCTCCGTCGACGAAAGAGAGCAAAATATTTCCTTAAGACGCGCAGCCTGGAGTCTAGAAGCTCGAGGGAGTACAGAGAATACGGAAGTACTTACATGTATGCCAGGTATAATGAATCAATGAAATTGACTGAAGCCTTCCGCCGAGATACTTTTATGCATGTAGATTTTTCACTGTTATAAATTCGTGCAAGTGAAAGTGCACGACAACAAGCGCTCTCAGGACGCACCAGTGAAGCTGAAATTGCAAAGAAAGTGAGATTAGGTCGCAAGATGAAGTTGCAGGTAAATCGCACCTGAAGCCAGGCAGGAGAATTGAGGATTTCTGGAAATAACGTATGTATCCTGAAAGCTGAGTCAAATTACATGGTTCAGTGGTTCATTAAAACCATACATGTATTGTCAGTTTTTCTGCCTGAAAAATTGCGTGCACTGGTACCAAGCCTGTTCCGTGCATACCATCTGCCGAAGCGAGGAGACTGTGGGAATCCTGTATTTGGAATGATGGAAGAGGGCTCTATCGTGGGGTTAATCAACCAGGGGGATTAATGTTATAGCAAGTGTTCATTAAGGGTCCGATGAGGAAAGAAACCTCTCTATCCGCCCATTTCCGAGGGGGGAAATGTTTGGCCAACCCACATGATGAACCCCTCCCGAAAACCACACATTCACATCCCATTGTGTGAGCATTCATCGAGACTAATACGTGATCATCCACCTCTTTCCGCTCCATTTAATTAAGGCAAATCCATCTACAAGCATTGTATGTTTTTCCCTCATTGAACCATGTGGATTTCCGCTCGATGATTTAAATGCATTCTCATATTAGCATGATGGTGTTAACCATCATAACGTTGAAGAAATGTCCTCAAAACTAGTAAATACTACTTCTAAAACCTTTAAATTGCTTGCCACACTTATAACTCTGTGCTGACTGTCACATATATTTACTTTTTATTTTTAGACTTTCTGAACTCCGTTTTTTTTTTTTTTTAAAGGGAGAAGAGGGAGGGGGACAGTCCACATGAGACTGTAGTAGATGAAATCGAGCGACACAGGCGAGTGAAATGTGCACTCCAATATCCGTCATCATAGGGGTGATATATAATTAAAGTAGAAAAGTCGAGGGTGGTGTATGGGGATGAAATTGGTTTTTCCCCGGGGTGAAAGTATGGATGGATTCTCTATCAAGGGAGAAAGAGAGAAGATAGAGAGACGGTGGCAGCCGGGGAGTTTAATGATCTTTCCCTTAATAGGGTCATTCGTTTCTCTGCTCCTGTCAATACCGGACGGGATTCGGGATGCATTTATATGGTGATGTATGGCACTTGATTGCAGGTTCTCCCCCGCCGTCCAATCTCATCTAATGACAGAGCGCACTTTGATTGGACGAGAATCCCATAACCTGACTAACCTTGGGACTGTAAAAGGGAGAGAGAAAGGAAAAAATTCAGACTTTCTGCCTCTTTTTTGGAGGATTTTTGCATCAGGGATACCCTCATAAAGGTCCATTAGGAGCGGCCTCTCCTTACGCTGTTTGATGATATGGATATTGTGAATGCTCCACAGCCTCCTTTTCATGGTAATCACCTCTCCTGGCAGTCTTTTCTTTTTTTTTTCCTCCCCGCCCTTTAATTTTTTATTTATCCTCCTCATCTTAATTGCTAATTACTCCGCCATGTTCCTTCTCCTTCCCTTTGTTCCTCCCATTCACAATCGTTTGTGAGCCCCGACAGCTGATGGGAAATTTAATTTGCTGTTTATGGAAGGTCCCGGCTTCTGATTGTGTGAGCCTTTATATTCATGGGGTGGGGGTTGCGCAATTATTCTTATTTTATACATGACCTGAAATTTATGGAACGACCTGGCGCATTGTCGGTTATCAGAAATAAACTGCATTTTAAGCCGTTCACCCACGTTTATAGCATACATTGTTGACCTAGGATCTCCCAACTTCTGAAGATTCGGACTGGGATCTTTCAAGCAGAGGAACCTCACGTCACGGTACTGTCGGAGTAGCACTTGAGCACTTCGAAAAGGGAGTTAGGGGCAGGGTATACAGAGGAAAACACCGCAGAGATGCACTGAGGGGTATTATGTTTGGGGTGGAGGAAAGGGAACAGATGGCTCATGGGTGCCAATTTCAAGTCCAACTATTTTTCCCTCTGAACCCTTTATTTTTCCTTTAAAACTCAGCTTGGTATTGAGTTATAATAATCATTCCTCATCGAATTTAATAAAGATCTCAATTTTTTTCACGCAGTTCTCATATCGAACAGACGGCCGGGCAGGGAAGACTCATGGCTGACCGCTTTCTTTTTGATGTAAAAGTTCCACTAAAACACATGGACCAGATTGCAGTGCTTGTCGGCCAGATGTCTGTGGAAATGTCTCATTTAAATTTTTAAGGAGTGTCCTTCAACAACGCCCTCGTGTACCAAATGAATTCATCAGTTCGTGAATGTAGTACTTACATATATTCGCATCAAACTTGTTAGACCACTCCAACGTTTCAAGGGGGAGAAGAAAAATATTTTTGGAATCTGAGGTTACCGTGAAAAAAAAAGAATGGAATCTCCCCTCGTAACAGAAGCAAACAGATTCTAGGAAGAGGGAGGCCCTGCAGATTCGATCTAAGACAAATAGGGTGGATGCCGTTATTCATTATCTCTCACCATGGTGAATCTAGGGAGGAGAATGTTGGATGATAGAGTGATGGCATGGGGGTTGGGTCGGGGGCCAATATGGGAGGGATGATAATAGGGGAAGGGAACATGAAGGGGACGGCCAATTATGAGGAATGGATGAGTCGACCCCCGAAATTCATGTTCCTAATGACTCCTGTGCGCCCTCAATTCCCATTCTTTCCGCTGCAGTTTTTGGGTGACATTTCCCTCTGATGAACTTCGATTCCTCGCCATGGGGTTTCCCTTGCATTTCTAATGAAGTTTTCTTTTTTCCCTTCCTTTTCATTGTCTTTCTCCCGGTCCCCCCCCCCCCCGGTTCTACGTTGTATTTTTCTCTTACCTGATTTCTTACCCTTGTCGTTTTGTGACCAAATGGCGATTGGTTTCCCTTAATTATCTTTCCAGTTATACGAGCTGAACGACGACGCCAAGAGGAAGGAGTTCCTCGATGATCTCTTTTCCTTCATGCAGAAGAGAGGTGAGTCTGAATTTCCTTTTTCCGTAGCACTTCACTTTTTAAAAATGAAAGTTGCCGTTATAATCCCGATTTGGCATGCGATTGCATTCACCCCCTTCCAAGGACATTAAAAAAAAAAAGAATAACCGGCGGGGCGAAAATATATATGCACACTAGTCGAATGGAATGTGTTCAAGCTGTGCATGACGCAATGTTTCCGGAAACGGGAAGCATGGAAGGTAGCCTGGATGAAGGATGAAGGTAGGAGGGTGGTGAAGAAGTGTAAAATTGGAGGAGAGCATAAGGGGATGAAGCGTGGAGAATCGGGGACCTCAGGAGGTCCTTTCCCCCCATCTCAGTAGGGTGTGTGTGTGCCTTATCCTTAACATCCTATCCCCCCCTCCCACGTCCCAAGGGCGGCCTTGGCTCCTCTTCACCATCCATGGGGGTAAGGCGTTTTGGATTTATTTCTTCGGGGAAAAACAAAGCTTTTCTTCCCCCGGAGCTGGCTTTGGGGTGGCGAGGATGCACACCGTCATGCTTTTCTTATATTTCATCACCGCGCGAAAAATTCTTTGCCGGAGAGCCTGTGAGAACCGCTTAAAAGCTTCTGAGATCCTCTGAAGACCTTCTGAGATCCTTTGAATAGCGTGAGATTGTCTATGAGATTGTCTGAAGAGCCTCAAAGATCCTGTGAAACACCCCGAGGTCCTTTGAAGGCCCATACCTGAATTCATGTTTCGCCGGTTCAATTTAGCTTAGGTCATGAAATATTTAAACTGTAAAATGACTTTTGGGTGCTCGGGTGCAATTACTTTAGTAACTTCTTGTTCTGTGGTACTTACCGAAGTCAAATTTTGGTGCTGTGTTGAGTGGTGGAGGGTGGAGGTTCAACATTGTGTCGATAAATCCTCTGAGCCTCATCTCCAGCTATTGCTTCGCCAATTAAATGACGTCCTCCGAACAGGAAGAACTGAAATGAAAAGTTATTCAGGGTAGCATGGTGAGTTGTATTACTCCAGCCCTACGAATTGCGGCCACGGTAATTCTTTTCACAGCTGAAGATAGTTACACGAGATTCGCTCGTACGAGGCGAAGAGAGAGACCACACCATTCTCTTTTCACACACCATTCTCTTTTCACTTGGTCGAGGGTAAAGGCTATGCAATATTTGAATGGGCAAAATTATAATTTTTAGTGAAACGAAACATCTTGTATTCAGTGTATCTATTCAATATGACGTGTGAGGTCAAAAGCGAATAATTGAGAATGAGGGGATCTATACTTCGAAACTGGCTGGAAGTCAAAATCTAACTTTAGATTGCAGCATACCAGTCGTCATGTCGATTCTGCTCTTCATTCTTTCCAAAAAGCTATAATCATGTGAATGCGTGGTTCGCATATTGTGCATGCCAGGTACAGAGAGATACACTGAGGTAATCGCAAAATCGATGCGGGTAAAGCAGATCGGATAGGTGGGGGGGAGAGGTAACACGAGGAGAATCCCATCATGGGAATCCCTGGCCCTGATTCCATTACACTAGTAATATCAGAATCCTTCCTGGCTCCTGATCGGATGTACTTATCTGCCAGCACACCCAGAGAGACGAAAGCCCCACAAGTGCGAGATTATGCGATCTGGATGTCGCCCATCTGGTGTCTGGATTCGGAAACAAAGAATGCCCTAATGAGAGAGAACCATTAAGGCTCCTGCCATGCACTTGCGGGATCGATGCGCTTTCATCCAGGAATAGGTCCTCTTCTCTTTTACTTTTTTTTCTTTTTTTCCTCTTCTCCTTTCGTAAGGAGAGGAGCTTGCCAACTCGCTTGATATGTCTCAAGCCACAACCTGGGCTAGATATTTATATGCCATCAGCCGGGAGTCTTGAGCCCTCACTTCCCCTTCTTCGCATATATAGCTCAAGATTTCGCATTCCGAGAACCCCCGTCGACATTTTTTGTCCCCTCATTTCCGTGCGGACACATGTGCGGAGGGAATGTGGAAGGAATTACCATCTAAGACCATGTGCAGATCATGTTCGTTAGGACGTAATGAATGCACATTTTTGTCTCTTTCCACTTCCAGGAACCCCCATCAATAGGTTACCGATCATGGCCAAGCAAGTTCTGGACCTATACGAGTTGTTTAACCTGGTGATCGCCCGAGGAGGGTTAGTGGAGGTCATTAACAAGAAGCTATGGCAGGAAGTGATCAAAGGTCTCAATCTCCCTTCCTCCATCACCTCGGCTGCTTTCACTCTCCGAACTCAGTGAGTCATGGAAGAACAAAGAGAATTCCCTAGAATTTCGATCCGATCTTTAGAGTTTTCGTCCTCTCAGGTACATGAAGTACCTGTACCCGTTCGAATGCTACAAGGAGCGACTGAGCACCCCAGAGGAACTGCAGGCTGCCATCGACGGAAACCGGCGGGAGGGTCGTCGCAGCAGCTACACGGCGTTCGGTGAAATGACGTCACACGCCCGCAGCGGTTCCCTCTCTCATCAACAGATGTCACCATTGTCCCTCGTTCGACCTTCCATGAATGGCAGTTCCTCCTCTCATCCTCTCGCCCCGGGTAGGTCCTTCAAAGATAACTTCACTTGAAAGCCTCTATAATTTTTCTGAGTAAAAAAATACCTCACTTCATCCAGCTTAGAAACGTAAAAGAAGAGAAGTTCAAAGGTCGTAAGACCTGCCCTGAAGAAATCAATATCTGTCATTAATTAACGTGAACGTGGTGAGAATTGGGGTTTGTGGCTTACACCTGGAGTAGCGCCACCGCCAACCTTACACAACCATGCAACCTCTAAATACACGTTTCGCGTGGATGTGAAAATCGCCCAACATTTGAAAGCGGGCAATTTTATTTGCGTGACTCCATGCCCACATCCTGTTAACGTGCGGCAAGAAATGTAGGTTCGAGGCAGATGCAACAACACGAGCGCATAGGAATAGACAGGTCTTTTGGGTCATGGAACAGCCTGTCTTTGATGCCTCTTCTATTGATGGGAGAGACCAGGAAACAGACTTGATATAACCCCCTTTTTATATTGCGTAGGCGGATATGCATATTTATGAGATATTTACAAAGAACGAGGATGCGGCAAGTAACATGGATTGCAAGGATGGATGCCAAGAGATCGTTTATAATGAGGGAAGACCCATAATCGCATAGGAAAATATATGACTGACCTGAATGACAATATTCATGAATGGCATAAAAAATAAAGAGAATCTGAGTTGTAAATGACTCGGGATTAATGCAGTCATAATGACTCGTAACTACCTTCCCTCTATTTCTCTCTCTCTCCTTGGAGCCGGTGATTATCCTCGGGGCTAGATCTATGTCCTGATGGAGGCATTTCGGTTATCTTCTACTTTATTTTTCCAGATAACGTCTACTTGATGCGATTTTCTTCCCTCTGTAATCCTCCGTATCTTTAAGATACTTTTGCACGACCAAAAGTATAATTGAGGCCCTATGAAAAGACTTTCATCTGGGACTAATTGCAAAAATGTCCATCCTATGCTAGAATGTTTCTCATTGAAATTGAGATTAGTTACTAATGTTTAAAGATTGAAAGATTTTCTACACACGACTGGAATGCGATATGGGCCATGGCCCTCCCGTCTCCCATTCAATTTTTCTCTATTTTAGTCTTTTCATTGTATACACTAGGACATACAATGATATAAGTCTAGCTTCCCTCAATTGAAACTCCACTGTTTAGAAAGCTGTAAATTCTATTTTCCCCGTTCTTCGCCAATTTATAATTTTATTCATTAATTCATGTATATATTTGGCAATCTGATGTCTACTTCTTCTGAGTAATACGTCTGCAGCCCATATTCATGCCACGGTCCCATGAATATGGGTCCTGGTTTTCGGTTGCGGATCTTACAGAAGACACAGACTGAAAGATGGTCAATTGTCAATGGATGTTTTTGAGGTCATACGATGAAAGATGCGAATGGTTGAATTGACAGTGATGTTGCCTGACGTAGGAGGCCTCCCGCCGACGACCACGTCCGCCCTCCTCGACATGCAAGCCAGGCTGAATCTATGGAACAAGCTGGTGGATCAAGTAGGTGGAGGCCGAGGGGACATCCCTCCCACGTTCTTCCCTCCCCCACAGCACGAGGCGTTGAACTTGGCAGCCACTGGTGGGGGTGGAGCTGTTAAGCGCGAGGACGGTCAGAACCAGAACTCCCCCAGCCCTCCATCCAAGAAGAGGCATCTTGACGAGAAATCTCATGGAGACAATCTGTCGCCCATCACGGGCACCCACATCAAGATCACCAGCAGAGGTAGAGCTCCTTTTCCCGATGTTGTAATAAAAGTCTCACTCATAAGAGGGTCAGTATGTTTAGAATATACTAATATATTTAGATTTAATATTTATTTATAACAATTATCCTAGAAAGAAGATCCATAGGATCTCGCGTATGGAGTTTATAAACAATTAAAAAAACGGCTGAAATTTGGTTGAAGCCTGTCTATCGACAGTTCGTTGTAAACTTCATTCGATGTTTTGCAGTTTTTTTTTCTTCCCCCAGCCTTGAGTGATCTGGGAAATCACAAGAATATTGTTGCAAATGCATTATCGTCCTGGCATTCTCTCAAAGAAAGAAAAAAAAAGCAGTTTAAAAGAGATTACATATACCAATGACCTGGAGCATTTTAGGAAGGAGCTCTGACTAGCAACAGGAAGCTGTATTGTAATATTCCCGAAGAGTACCGCTAATTCATTGTTTGCTTGTGGAGATGGAGATGCCATGGAACCCGCGCAGGTCGATGCCCGATAGGAAGAACCCTCTCTCCCCGGAAAGAAAAATCCTTCTGACCTGATCGTTCTGTCTCGTTTCAAACGAACAGGTGATGGTCGAGGCGGTGTGGACAATTCCCTAGTCGTGAGCATGGAGATCAACGGCGTGATCTACCAAGGAGTCTTGTTTGCCCAGGGCAGTTCCCGGGACCGGATATTATGAAGACAATCCCTTCCTCTTCCTTCCTTCGCTACTTCCTTTCTTCTCGTTTGATCTCATTCCCAGATCCTCTTTCGAATCTGAGCCGGGGAAGGTACATACGTACGTAGAATACAGGAGACGCATAGAAACACATATTCATCTAGAGACACCTGTGATGAAGGGCTGAAGATAGAGGACCTGTCCTGTCACATCGTATTACACTTCTCCCTTCTACCTCTCCATCTCTGTCTGACTGTGATTTTTTTACACGTTGTTTTACTATGTAAAACATACCTCACAGGCCACAAAGTCTCTTGTGTTTTTGGCAGCCTGGTCCCCACGAAGATAGAGGAAGAAGTGAGCCTGAGAAACGTGTCATCATGTCCCAAAGTCTCTAGATCCGAAGGACTGTGATAGCTCTCTCGCTCTTTTTCCTTTCCCTAGAAGTTGTGTGAATAGCCAGTACCTCAGTTTTGAGTTCTTCTCTTTGTGGTCTCATGAGTCGATTCCCACAGCAGCTAAGTGAGGCAATGGGTGATAAATGTACGAGGCAGTCGAGCATAGGAACCAGAAGGCGTTTGCTGAGAGTACAAACAGCGCAATGGCCTCTTGAGATGTACAAACACGGGAATGTTCACGATGACGTTTTCTATATTCCTTGGATCCGAATGAGGACGCCTGATTTATTTCTGAGTCATAATCGTGTTTCTCTCAGGGATGGATTATTCTTTAGATTGGGGACTTCCCGCTCTCTCGTTTTTTTTTTGTTGAAGAATCCCGTTTATCTTGTACAGAGTTGGTAAGTTATTGATGGTGCTTGTGCTTCCCCCTCAGCTGAAGAGTAGAAGAGAACCCTGGGGATGATTGAATGGAATGTATGAAGTTTGTTGAATTGGTTCTGATAAGGGGAATTACAATGAAGTTCATTCTGAGTGACCCGTTCTCTCTTAATACACACTTCACACACAGCAAAAACAAGCGGAACTAAATTGTCGAAGGCTATTCATTAAAAAAAATTTAAATTTATTATTAAACTTCGACAATGCTCGGCGGGCAGAACAGCGAAGATTATATGATGTTCTGGCTACTGGCTTCCTCGGCGATGGGGAATTGAGTATTCTTGTTGACAACTATTTTCCGATTGAAAAAGGAAAACCCAGGGTAAACTCTTACCTTTCGAGAGCCGAGAAGTAATCTTTCTTTGTTTTGGTACAACTTCACCTTTCATAGCAACATTTTACCCTAACCTGGTCATAAAAGCCTTCATTTGATGATTCATGATTTATTGCATTTGTGACTTTTTCCAGCCCTCCAAATCTTGGGTGTTATTTGTATGCTGGGAAGGAGCTTTTCTCGGCCTCCATTGGATTATAAAGGAATTTCTTGAAGTAAAATATCAACCTTACGAGTTGATGTTCTACTGCATCCTGAATGGAGTATATCTTTCGTTTCCAAGACACCTGCTTTGTCTAAGTAGGTCACCCGGTATTCCTCTAGGACCACCTGTCAGTTTTTTCATATATTTGTGGTCATTTTGGAGCCTGAGGCATTCCTGTTATTGATACACCGAGCAACGAACATTTGGGCATTGACGATGAACTCGGATGACTCGTTTGTGAATTTAGCAGTTTCATGCAATGTCAATATTCGTATTCACTATTCTCTACTTTTTATTTTCGCTCCGAGTAAACCTATACGTACAATTGGCACCAATACACCTATGTTTGAAATTGCAACTAGTTCATGTTAAGAGGAAATGCAATTCTACTGATATATTTCATGATCGCTGAAACTTTCTGCGTAGGATATCATTTTGGAGGACCCTTCTGGTCTGTACTTGAGTCTTGGCAACAATAGAGAATGCGCGTCTGGGATCAGTTGAAACCATTGGTTCCTCACGTGTCCCATAGATCCGACGGTTTCTCCAATAAAGTTGCCTTTTCATTTATAAATGGTGTTCTCCAGTACTTTCAGTCGCTTGTTCAGCCATATTCCAACACATTAGATGTTATGCAGAAACACCACGAAGAAGATCCTCCATCCTCATTCACAGGTGGTACTTTTTAGTCCTGTCAAAATTAGAATCGCGGTGCTTGAACCCCCAAAAAGGCACGCATCGAGTGCGAGTTCAACTTCATTGTTTCTGCTAGCAATTAAATCCTCATTCTCGATCGTGTGTCTCGAAATTCTGCATCATTACTGGCTAAGTCCTACAATGAATAGCTGGAAGAATTTCTGACGTTTCTTCACTTCCAAATTTCGAGGAACTGGAAATTTCCTGTATTTGGTAAGAGTCACTACTGACACATTGTCAACAAATGTCAACAAATCAGCTTGCATTCCTGTGGTAAAGCGACAGCCGTTATTAAAGGAAAGTTCTCAAGCGAGGCCAGAAAATTGGTTAAAATCGGTTGTTGAAAATGGAATCGGTAGAGAAAGGGTAAACCTAGAAAAATTCTCGCAGACGTGGACGAATGCTAATTTTCTATTTCTAGTGGTCATTTCACACTTAGCGCGTGATGCTTTCACATGCATGAATGCGTGCGTTTTGCATGCATGCTCATTTGTGTCAGAAGGGAGCGCACGCGAGTTCTCGCGCGTCCACACGCATGTGCGAAGGGACGCATGTGCGTTCGTGCACGCAATGCATGAACGAAGGAAAAATGATAGCGTGTTCGGAATTCACGGAAATAAATTCGAAACTTTACGCTTTGCATTTCCTCTATGCCTGCGAATGCATGCGGCCATGCACGCACACGCTTTTTTGTGTTGGGATATAAGTAGACGCGCGCAGTCGGGCATCTCTCGTGCATTGCTAAAGCGCATGCGTCAAGTCATAAAACGACCAGAACCTCCTGAAAACTTTGAGCCACAAGCGTCTACCATGTTACGAGTTATCGTATGGAAGAATCAGACCTCAGGAGATTGAGAAACAGACTCACGATTAATTGCGACAGAACACGGCAAAACAGCATAAATCTGGTCCAAACATAAGATTTTTAGTCAGAAGATGGATAGAAAAGTAACGCCTACCGGCTGCTTTTTTTTTCCAAGCAGGTTCCTCTCTAGGCATTTCACACTACGCGTGCTTTGTGTGCGACACGTGGGACTCGGTGATGCATGCGACACGCATGTCTGCACGCGTCCACTTACGTTCGAATGCAAAAGAAGACCTGTGTACGTGCATGCCCGCGCGCATTCTCACATGCAATAGGAAGCGTAAAGCTCACGTTGAGAGTTGGGTTCCGTCGAATTCCAAGCGCCAACACGCTGTCATTTTCACTTCTTTCGTACCTTGTGTATCCCTCGTGACACATGCGCTTGGGCTCGTTCGGACTTAGGCATTTCCTTCTAACGCAAACGAGCATGCATGTAAAAGCGCCATCGTTGCGCATGAACGGGTGAAACGCAGAAAACGTTAAGAGTGAAATGGCTCTGTTTCATCGTAACCTGGGGAACGATTCGTATCCCCAGTAGTCCCCCAGTGAGAGAACCTCTCAATACAGAGCCCGACATTGCTGCCATCTACATCATAACGTTGGAAACAAGAGCATATTTATGATTCTCGCAGAGGGAGGTATGCGACTCTCGCATGCAAGGCTCAGAAGTGGAGGTGTCGACAAGTTTGACCGACCTGGCAACCTCTCGACTCTTCTCATTGCACTCATCCATCGTCAAGCTCAGAGTTAGGAACTAATCTTGTCTACGATCTTGGCCGAGATCTAAACGGTCTTCCGTGGCCTCAAAGTCCCGTTGCAATGGAGACCATTGGGAGTCACCGTACTTAGGATGCGATGCGATCGGACGATAAAGAAACCTATGAGATCCCCGAGACGGGTAAAAATAAACGGCCGAAGGCAAATTTTGGAGAAAAAAAAAAACTTAGTTATTAATTTTCTTCTCAATTCAACCATGAAAGGGTTAAGAGGCGCTGTCTTCACAACCTTGCTTTTGATCCGATATGTCTGAATAACAGCCTACTTTGACAAATATCCGCAAATAACCCTCGTCGAGAGCTGTCTAACGATGCAACTTAAAACCAAGTTTTTCGAATATAGTAACACAAGAGCAGTCACAGAAGATATGATCCTCATAAAGATCGTACGCCATTAAAGGATGAAGGGACGAGGCTTCTGGAGCCTTCAACAGTCGACCGAGTAGAAGGCACTCATCAATTACAGATGCTCTTCGGTAGCAGCTGCACTCGATGAATACACGTGACAAACGTGACAACGCGATCGTGACCGCACAAGCCGTGAGATGTAATTGGGTGAGGAGGAAGGTAAAACTCACTTTTGCCTAGAATTCATTTCAACATATGTGCTGTTCGGAAGTGTGGAAACTCATTCATTTCGACTATTACGTACAAGAGAGCGGATGCCGAGCCCCATTCCTCTCCGCGGTCTCTTTCCCGTTCATGCAACATCTCCAAACAAGTTGAAAAATGAGAAGATAAACCGGTAAAGGGATCCATTAATATGCCGACACGAATGCCTTCTCGTTGAACTTGCAAGGAGAATGAAGAGGAGCGTGGGGCGAGACTATATTGTTTGGATCGACAAAAAGGAATCGGAATGAGAGAGACAGAAGATCTCGAGGGAACACGACCGAATTGGTTGTTATATACAGTACTCGCATTTCACATTAAACGTGCTAAGTTGGACGCAACGAACCATCCAACTTCGACAGCTGGTAGTTGGATGTGACAAAAATGTATATACTCGAAACTCTGGATGGCTGCACGTGTGTCGAGGCATATCCACTCGGGACGAGATCTGCGACAAGAACAAATCGCGCAAGGAGTCTTAGGAGCACACCGACTGCTAAGAGCTGCGTTGCGACCGATGCGACCGTCGCAGTTCGTCGCAATCGGTCGCATTGGAGATGCGTGGGGCCTTCGTGGTGGGTTGCAGTACGCTTCGCAACGGAATCGGACGAGTCGTTTCCTGTCGCGTCTTCGCATTGGCTCGTGCTGCGTATCTATTGACTACAAGTTATGGAATCCTTGGATACTTAACTTGGTGAATCTTTTGCTGGAACGACTGTGGTGGAAGATGATGCCAATCATCACCATTGAATCTTCATGAGCGAGATGCATAGATATACGAAATAAATCGCCAAGAAAGGTCTCGATGTCATTTATGTTCCTGATTATCAGACATTCTTTCTGTCCATGAATTTTCATTTTAATCCAAGTGGAGAAGCACTTGTTCTTCGAGTGCAAAAGCCCGAGTCGTACCTCTTTTAAAGAGATCACTGCATTATTTATACGCATTTGAGATATACAGAATATTTGTATGGAGTATGCATTCACCCATCTCAGTGTCACTGCCACCATTTGCAATTTGTGTCCTGCCCTCTCCTCCAGCAGACCAAGGAGGGTCTTGAACAGCTCAGGAGATACACTCATGAACATAGGAGAAAAACGCCCCTTTTCTTCGATGATATTTTCTACTAGGGTCTCGAATATTTTCATCTGATGATGGGAAATGTGTACAGGACCTATCTACCACTGTGGAGAGTTTTTCCCCCCTGGGGTCGCAAAAAAAGCAGAGGTGTTGCAACTTGAGCTCTCAAATTGCACATAGCCATGTTGGATTTCGCCTGGCAGCTCTGTGACCAGCGTGGGAAATGCTTCGCAGACGGTCGCAGTGCGGCTCTACCGCAGCTCTCCGCAGTCAGTGTGCATCGGCCTTTAAGGTTCAGCGAATCTTTCCTCCCTATTTATATGGTGTGAAATAAAGCGTTCCATCACGAGTCCTCTTTCGCGAAGCTCTTCCACCCCTATATTCGCAATTAGAGAGAATTCCGAAGAAGACGACGGGGGGAGGGAAAAGATGACCAAAACGGGTCTGACTCACACCGGTCAGCAGGCAAATGAGGCCTTTTCGTGTCCAGATTCTGCGACCGAGGCTAAGTCGAGGTTTCCCCGACAGGATATGGAAAAAGGAGGCCCGTTTTGGTTGCCTGACTTTCCGCCCTTATGCAAGTCATTTAAACCCACACGAGCCAAAAATATCATACGGAAAACATCGGTGTTCATTGATGTAGACAGGGGAAGAGGATGAAAACAGCCCCGGGGCTGAGGAGAGCGGATGAAAACTTGCTCCGGAAAATGGAACCCTCGACGACCCTGTCTGAGCTGTTTCCAGCGCAGTTTTATTTCTTTTTTGCATCCTGGCCGATGTTGGAGCCTGTATCTGCAGGTTGTGTCGCTCGTTCGCTTCATTTCCAGCACGATGAATTTGCGTTCGTTTCATCATTTCAGACGGGTGAGTGACAGTTCTTGCTTTCCGTTTATGTCTTGCATCGGTAGGGATATCAAACCTGTTTTTGGTTTTATCTTTAAAATCCAAAAAGTTTTCGTTTATTCGTGACTTCCGATTTCTGTTATGCAAGTCCTAGAGATTTATTCTCAGAAAAAATTTAATGCAACGTTGGTGAAAGTGGAACTGTGCTAACTGTGTTAACCTATGATACATTTTTGTGTCGACACTTATGTCTCCCGAAGACCACGTTTAAAGGGACGAGGAGACATGCTGCACATTTGGTTTCCGAGTCGCATTCCCTCTTGTCCGGCTACAGTACATGACTCATATGTACATGATTCTGGTGACCAGGACCCTCCCACGTGCGCAAACTATGTTGAACGGGGTAGTGGCGGAGAGCCCATTTCGCACATCTTAGCTTCAATCTCTCTCCTCCCTCCCTCTCCCCCTCCTCCCTCCCTCTCCCCCTCCTCCCTCCCTCTTTCTCTACGAGCTTGAAGCCCTTCTCTGGGAGCTTCGGATATGTGAGGTCACTAGACCGTTCAACGATTAGCACGACGAAAATAGAAACAGTCACAAAGAAATGCAGGGTTATCCAACGACTTGTCCAACGTAGGGTCTGTGGAGGTACGTCGGTATGGAGTTTGGATCAGGGCACGGTTATCAGTTATCCTTGAAATCAGGAAAATCAGGAAAATTACGTATCGGCAGAAGGAAGTCGTGGTTCAGGTCGTCTAATCAACAAGGATAAATTTTGGAGTGAAAGTGTGCCTTGTCAGGTCGTCGACAGGTTGAGTCCAGCTGGATGAGAAAAGGAGGGGGGGGGGGAAGGAAAGGGGTCATATTTCGCCCCGAGGACCAAATTTAAACCCCAGTATCTGCGCTCGTTTGCCGTTGAAACCTCCGATTTTGACTATACGCTATTCTCATCATCATACTACTGCCTGGTAAATTTAACTGATTACTGTGTTGGTTGAAGATAGACCATTTCCATGCTTGGGATGGAATGCTGAATTGCTTAACGGGACATTGTATGGATGAAACAAGGGTACTGAAAAAATACTAATTTCAACACCTTGTCCATTCATTCACTGTTGACCACTTATATAGCGCATCATTTTTGCTCGCTTATACGAAGCTGCCTTTCTCCCTTAATAAAACGGTAGTGTATTTTTTTTTTAAATTCGCCCTTCGCATGTATGAGATGTAAAATGAGACATTTATTAAATAGACTAATGTTTAACTCAGCATGAGTCCTCTCATATTACCATGTCTTATTCAGGGTGTTGCCGCAGTAACCTCAAGCTATCTTTTGCAGGACTCATTCGGAAACGTTTAGTGAAATCGTCCATAGCACAGCGAGCCATCGCCGAAGGAATGTCATCTGAACGCCCTGACTCAGGTGGGTATAGCTTCCGGCTTGGTGGTGTACACTGTTTCCTTCACACAGCCCAATCGCCTCTAATCACAGGCTGTGAGGTCTGACGAACTTAGAGGCAAAGCAACGGGACCTCGACGATCGATACATCGTCTGTCAAGGTGCTCGTTCGAGATTGCACGCGTTGCCAAGTCATAATTAGGTGGTGCCCATCTTGCTGGAAAATGTTTCTGTCTCGTCGCAGCTGCTTCGACAGGGACACGACCAGGTTCTTAAATTAAATACACCAAAATGACTTTCACCATTCATGGTTACATCCAACAACTTGAACGGTATCCAGGATACCGTTCCACCCAATCGGTGCTCACTCTGTTATCGAACTGCCGAGCATCCCTTTCTCCTCGATCGCATGCGTTTTCTTCTTTCCCCAAATAACAAATCATTCACATGATTGACCGCCTCATCGTAAAAGATAAGTGGAGTTTAGAGGGAGGATATTTCCTCTTCTTGGATTCTGTTCACAAACGAACGCCGAATATCCTGTTCACGTAAAGCCAGACGTGTGGATGGACCGTTCGCAAATGCTGCAATTCCAAGCTCTTCATAGTCTACATGGATTCTAGTGCCAGGCCGACCGGCTGATTTCACATTTAAACCCGACCGATCTCCGCAATATGATAGGTTCATTGGTGAATGTTCTGCGGAACTAATATGCACTTACCCCGCGTTTGCAACCTAGCATTTTGTAATTTGCATTTGCATTTGTAATTGCCAAGTCTTTTATGCATAGGATGTAACTTCCAGTGACATTGCCGGAAGGTAATGCATCAGACTTAAACATAGGACAGGGACGCGTCTAGGGATGGGGGGGGGGGGGGCAAAGGGGGGGGCAAACGGGGGGCAAACCCCCCTCCGCTATTGTGACTGTCACCCTCACCATTGACCCTATCTTGTTGCCCTTCCAGTCTGACAAATTTCTGTTGATTCCTCCCGGAGGGAGGGGGACCAGGAGTGAAACGTACGGGTCCGGAGCTCTCTCCGCCGTTTCTGCCCCAGATTTCCATTGAAAAATCCTATAGGCATCACTGATACGAGGCTGACTAATTTTGTCCTGAGCCTCTCAGACTGAGCAAGTAAATAAGCAAGTAAGTCGGTATAAGTGATTTCAAAGCAGGTTTTGAGGCGCATGACATCCCTCGAAGTTGGGGAAGGTGTGCAGCATAACAATTCCCTCATCCAAATGTGTCAACATTGGCAGATGCTGACGCATTGGGATGCGGGAATCAACCCCTTTCATAGGTTGGAGTGCAGGTTAGGTTCTATTATTTAGATGGGAGCTTACCTGAGCAGATTTGCTTATCCGTATGATATCCCTAGATCTTGAATATATTTATTTTACAACACGTCTCGGCCTTCTAAACTTGGTTCTTTCGAAAAATAGTGTTAGGGATTTTCTCTAACGAGATTTGGAGAATGAAAAATCCAGAAAAAATTTTGACAAAACTGAATATGCATATATGCAGGACTCGATCAGAACGAGCAAGTGGGCCTAGATGGGTAAATAAAGTCGATGTTCAGGCACGTGTTCGCAATTCGATGCAACGATGGCAACCGAATTCCAATCGATGTCTGAGGTTTGCTGAGGCATACAGCTTGGCTGTTACCGTGGGCAACAGCAAGGACATTTTTTTATACCCTTTTCACGGTTGGGAGGGAGAGTTCCATCATATGCTAAGCTTTTATTGCTAGGGAAAATTATATTTTCCCTAGCATCCACTGCTTCCCATCTTAGCTTAATGCATGGAACTACCAGGTTAACAATTTTTTTTGCGAAGGGAGATGGTTATTTTTGCCTAGGTTCCGACACTTTTTCGTTTCTCTCTGTGGGTCCACTTCATATCGGACTGAAATCTCGAAGGTCTTGAATTTGCTTCCTCTTCCTGTTGGTTGTATATGTTGGCTTTCATAAGAACAATACGAGTGCGCCCATTTAATGACAGTCGAGATATGGGAAAAAATCCCTCACCAATTTGCGTGCAGGCCTGGTCCTGACCTTAATACTAAAAATATTAAATGCATCATAAAACGCATTGACCATGACAAAGGAGAAGCAAAGTTTGGAGCCCTTGTGGAATGGACCACTTCTATCTAATAAAAAATAATAATCTAATTGATTAGAGACCCTCGGAAAGAGAGAGCAGAATTGTTTTGAGGTACTGTTGCTATAACTTCGAGATTTTCATTTTTATTATGACGGGATATGCAGTTTTTTGCGTCGTTGTTTCTGGTCATGATGCTCTGTCGTTTCATTCGCTCGATAAAAGCTATGCACTTTTCATGCACATGGCTTTTATTGATCGACTTTATTTCCTAGGCGACGAATTTTCAAAACAGGCGAGACGAATGATACGTTACGCAGGAGCAAGGTCAGCCACGTAGCACACAAATATCGATCACTCCAGGATCCTAGAGACGAATAAAATGCCACGCAGGCAACTTCAAATTGCTGGAGTAGGGAAGGACCAGTGAGGACTGCTGGAGATTCTTCCCACGCTCGTCATGAATCCCGACGCCCAAGCAAGTTCTTTTAATTTATGAATTCCGATTGAGGTATGTTTCCTTCGCCTAACAAACAGTATTCAAAGTTTATCATTATTATTTTACAAAACTCATAGAATTGGAAGATGTCCGGCAATTTTCGAGGAAGCAGATATTGTGTCCCAATTGCTATCTCTTTTGGCTATTTTCCCAGCTTCTCAATTTCATGTTCTTTTCAATTGTGCTGGAGTCGCTCATTAAAAATTATGATGACTCATCGTTTCCTGCATCCCCGCCTAGGGTCGGAGATTCTTGGAGATCATCGCCTGGTTTCTGGTCATTTCCCACGCCTCCTTCGCATCCAACAAGGATGATTCCATCTACATGATCTTGCGCGACTACGAAGTACTGATAAAAGAAACGCTCGATGAGGTTCCCCAGTGCCTTAAACCAACACCTGTATCTTGCTGCCTCGTCCAATGCGAGAAGTAGGTTTCATGAATCTCCAGTATGATTACAAGAGCTAGTATTACTCTCTTGTAAATTTCATCTCTTTGTTGACACCCACGCAATCATCCACAAAATTTCACGAATTTGGAGAGCATTACTTTTTATCTTCTCCACCCCTCCCTTCCCCCCCCCCACAAAAGAAGATTTAGGTGGAGGTATGATCACGCTTAATCTCGCAAAAAATCTTAAGACAATCGAAAAAATATTTTTCAAACATATTTTTTCCTTAACAGAATGAAGAACAGTGAAACTTCTAGATAAGTTGCATACCGATGCTGTCTAATGTGTAGCAAAGTTACAGCTGGCCACTTTCAACCTATTTTCTTAAATCAATTATTGAAGTTTGATGTAGGAAAATAATATGGGAGGTAAATTTCAACTTCCCCAACAGCCCTGGGGAACGCAAGGGGTTGCCTAGTACCGTACATACGAATGCAATCGAAGATTGAGCTTGAAATCGTGCTTTACATTAGAAGTATTTGAAATGTAATTTTTATCCTCCAACAAGAAAAGCGGGGGAGGGTGGTGACATACTTTCGAAAGGGAAATAAAGTTGTTTAAAATCTTCAATCATTGTTAATGCGATATTTTATCCTGCCATTTACGATCATCATTTGCAGGATTGCAGAATGTGATGGATTCACATCACAAGTCAATGGCAAATGCGCCCTTTGGGATTACGCATTTGTTGACATCGTGCCTTCTCGCCGTCCTTCAACAGCCAAAACTTACACACGTGAGACAAATCCTACTTGGTTGAGCATTTCGCTCATTTCAGGTAACTCTGGTTCTTTACGCACGTGAAGACCAAACTGTTAAATGTTTGAATAAATGTACGCTTTGTCATAATACTGTTTGTAACATGAACTTAATGGGTAAACGCATTAGTTTCATGTGGCTGGGTGAAGCTAGGTGCAGGATAGAAAGCGTAAGAGAAAATCGGTGTGCTAAGCGTAGAGACATTCATGAGGAACTTCACCAGTTTGGTAAAATTCACTATGTCCTTGTATCCAACTCGCCTTTCTGCAGAGTACAGTGTGTAGAATATATCTATCATATGGTAAAATCGTATTTATTATAATCTGTCTACTATTACTCCATTGCCTTCCTTTCCCGTTATAACCACAATATGCAGAGATTCCTTTGGTGCGTCTTGAAAACCCGCGATTGAATTCCTGCTGAAATTAAATAAAATTGATTTAGGCATAAGCCTATATGAAAAGGCCTGGACACGTTCTCGATGATCCGCGCGTCCGCGTCGCGTGGAGACGGGAGGACAGTATAAAGTGTAGGATGCCAGATACGGCATTTCACGCGTGCGCCTAGCAACCCTGTCTACGTGGCACGGAGCAGCCGCTCTCCTCCATTGTCTACTATGGATCCGTCTACCGCCAGGGCTGGAAGGGAAGTGAATGTTTTCGTGGAAGACGGGCACCCCGACCCAGGCAGAAAGTTGCGCGTGAGCATTGGGTCGTGTTGTCCGGTCGCTATGGTTACTGCGGACAGACGGAATGAAAAAAAAAAGAATGAAAAAAAGTGACAAACCAACCGCAATATCTGGCATTTCCACATAGTACCTATGGAAATGGCAAATAAATACCGGACAGGAGACTCTTCCATCGCATGATATTCAAATAACCGAGATATTCGATAGTGGCTAAGTCCTAGTAGAACGGAATTTCACGTGACACCTGCCTATTTTTCAAACATGCATTATTTCCTCCTTTACTTCTTTGATTTAGGGGTTTGCGAGGAGCATTTCACTTCACCCGATGTACCTGCTGCATCCATGGAGTTCACCCAGTGGAAAGGAAAATATCCAGCCCCAATAGGTGCATCTGTCACCTTCACATGTCCATATGGAAAAATCTTCAATGATGGCGCTTCGACACACCAGGCGAAATGCACAGGAAAGGAAACTTGGGAATACGACTACGACACCGTCCCCTCTTGCATCGGTTCGTTGAGACCTGAAGGAATGTGACCTTTTTCTAGTAAAAATAATTAATGGGAAAAAGTTCCATAATTGATTAAATTGCTGATTGTAGTGGATAAAAAAATCTCACATGATCTGTCGTGCCCCCCATTTTGAGAACCCCTGCTATAAGGAGAGGGTGAGGGAAATTTCAAACTGGTTTCATCCCTACCCCAGTAGCACCCCAATATTGGATCAATACCCCAATAGCACCAGGTATTGGCTCAATGCTGGATCGACATTGGGTACATTGGCTACATCTTGGGCAATATTGCCAATATATGCTAAATATTGGCTCCCCCAATAATGCCATTCATTCATCGATCCAATCTGCCCGACTGCACCTAAAAAGTTTTTGGGAAATGTTGAAGTTCTCCTTCAGGCCACTAGATGGAAGTATAGGTCTCGCTTTTCGCACAGCACACAGAAGTACCCTTCCTTCTTTCCCTGTAAGTGTCCCTCACAGGAGTGTTTCGTACCTCGCCATATGTCTCGCCTAGTCTCATTATAACAATCAATAAACTCGGACACTTCATCATTTGTTATCAGTATATTCGAGGCAGAATCATGGAGCCCAGGCCATGCACAAGCTCATATTCCATAAGAGAACCCTTTACGAAAGCATAGGGTGAAGGAAATCCACGGCTGGTGTCTACTCCCAGGCATCAACTGATATCCTCATCCCTACTGCCGGGGCCCATTGTTCCGGCAGTGCGAAATTGTCTTTGTGAATGCAATCCTTACCATTTTTTAACTGATTTTTTTGAAGACATTCCTCACTGTTGACTATTCTCTCTTCTTGCTTCTAGCCTTTTCTCTCTGTTCACCAGACTCTCTCCCTAAATCTTCCCCCCCCCTCTCACCAGGCGCAGAATGCCTGGTAAGAGGAAGACTCGTAAGAATCGGTCCCCGCCCTCCTCCCCCTCTTCACAACCCCCTGTGCCTACACCCCCTCGGCCGAAACGTCAATCCTCTGGTAGAAGGGTACGGTTGAGGTTACCTGCATCCTTAGCCTCCGAATCCATCCGCTCCCTCAAAAGTGCTCCTAATCCGAACGTAGCTCTCCGTCTCTCCCCTTCCCATTCGCACACCCAACCGTCCACGCCTGCAAATTTCTCTATGCACGGTAGCAATTCACCAGTCTCAACTTCAGACAGCCACTAACAGCTCTCTTTTTCAAAACCCCTTTTTGTGAATTCTCTCCCCCCCGAAACACCAACAGAGGATAGCATTCGTTCGCGCCTTTATGAGCGCCTTCCCTAAAGTCCAGTTGCTCGACATCAAACTCGCTCCGCAGGCTTTGTCCTCAGCCTTGCGAAACCTTCGGACATTGCTTGCGTCGCCAGCAAATGGCCCGAATCAGGAATAGGCGGAGAAGCCTTCCCTGCGCGAGCTAGGACCCCGCTTTGCAAATTTCTCTATGCACGGTAGCAATTCACCAGTCTCAACTCCGCGGCGATCTGTCGCCGTTTTCCTGCCGTTTGGGGCAGGCGGCGTACTGCGCAGGCAAAGGGCATGCACAACGTGACTGCGAGGCAAAGACGAACGGGCTGCCGCCAAAGTGCAGCCAATGCCAAGGTAGTCACGCAGCGAACTCCGCCGCCTGCCCCAAACGGCAGGAAAACGGCGACAGATCGCCGCGGATCTGCGTTTCACGAACTCGCTGTTAGCACGTAAAATCGCACAGGAACCGCATGCAGCAGCTTCCATCTCCCTCCGACTTGTTCCCGCTCCCCTACCCACTCGCCCAGCCTGGAGCCCTAGCTTGCCCTCCCAGATCACCCTCGCGCCATTGCCCTCTGCGCCCGCGGCAACTGTAGCGAAGTCAGCAGCGTGCCCCCCCTCAGTTGCTCTCCGCGAACTCTCTCCAACGACCGCCACGCCCGCACCTCTCCCTGCTCACTCAAATTAAACCCTCTGTTCTCTGCCTAAGCGAACTAAAAAGTAAGAACGCGCCCATAATTAAAAATTATTATAGTTACAAACCGTGCTTTCAGTCTAGGCCGTACCAAGGGGGATCTGCGGTATTTATCTCAAATAATCTTGACTCTGAATTAATTAAGCGCGAATGGAGCCCCAAATCAGAAATAATTGGAGTTAAAATACGCTTCCCATCTGCCTCTTTAACCATATTTCATGCCTACCTCCCTCCTGCCTCTCCTCCTAGTTCTGCTGACTTGAACTTCATTACCGAATACAGAGGCCCCTCGCTTTTCATAGGAGATTTTAATGCACACGTCCCCGTGCTCTCATTTCATGACAACACCAACGAAACAGGTCGCATCCTATGCGACTTCATAGCTTCCAGGTGCTTTAGCATTCTGAATGACGACTCTCCCACGCATTCTTGCTTTGCTCACGGTAACCCGTACAGGATTGATCTCGCACTCGGCAATGCACGGTTCCTCCCTTTTTTTCCAGACTTCTCCATAGGAGAGGACATAGGGAGTGATCACGTGCCTATCATAGTAAAGTATAACTTCACTCACCTCCCTCCATCTGTCCCAAGTAACCCCCGCTTTGACTTTCGTAATGCCGACTGGTGCGCTTTTCAGGACATAGTAGAAACCCTCCTCCCAGACTCCCTCCCTATGGATGCCATCCCAGCTTAACGAGGTGGTCACTATCGTCATTGAGTCCATCTATATCGCGCAAGAAGTAACAATACCTAAAATTTATACCTCTCATAAACCTTACTCTCTCTCTGAAGAAGCCCTGTATATAATTAAGAAACGTAGAAAACTAACCACGCTTATTTTCGCTCTAAAGACCCTGCACTAAAACCTATCATAAACAAGGTTAACCACGAAATTAAAACTCCTTAAAAACGAAAACGAGGCATATTGGTGTAAATTTTGTGAACAGATTAACACCGAAGAGGATCCAGCTAACTTTTGGAAGCTCTTTAAAAGAATCGGGAATCCTCGAAACAATCAAAGTAAACCCATTAAATATCAAGGTAAGACCCACTGCAGTGACGACAGCAAAGCCTCAGTCCTTGCCGCCACCCTGCTGGAAGCTATGACCGAGCCGCCAAGCTCCCTGGGGCCGATTCCCCCCAAAGAAAGCCTCGATCTCCAAAACAAAATAACTAACTTCTCCCTCTCCAAACCCTCTCTTCTTCCTGAAAGTCTCTCTCCCGATCAGGAAGCATTACTTAACGAAATCACCATAGAAGAGATCGAGGCCGCGATTAAAATATCTCCCAATAAAGCTCCTGGCCCAGATAACATCTTCGTAGCTTCTCTTAAACACCTTCCAGAAAAAGCTCTCCAGCTCCTTCATCTAACATTTAACGCCTGTCTTAATCTCGGTCACGTCCCCCCCGCATGGAAGTCCGCTAACGTAACTATGATACCCAAACCCGATAAAGATCCCTCAGATCCCTCTTCCTACCGCCCCATCAGTCTTCTCAGCTCTCTTCAAAAACTCCTTGAAAGAATTCTAACCGCTCGACTATCGAACTATCTGGAATCTCTAAACCTTCTCACCTCTTGTCAATCAGGCTTTCGACCTAATTTAAGTACCACCGATCAGCTCGTTCGGCTCCACCACGACGCGCTCGAGGCTGTCAACAGTAAAAAGCATCTCTTAGCTCTCTTCTTTGACGTTACCAAAGCATTCGATAAGGTATGGCACGCAGGGCTAATCTATAAACTTCACTTTCTTTTTAAAATCCCCCTGCGATTCTTGCGCTGGATAGCCTCATATCTGTCCGAGAGAACCTTTAGGGTCAGGGTCGGCAACTCCTTTTCCGAATCATTTTCCCCAACAGCGGGAGTCCCTCAGGGATCTGTGATCGCTCGCTTCTCTTTATCCTTTACGTAAACTCGACATCCACGTAAGTCAGTATGCAGACGACACCGCCCTCTGGCTCTCTGGCAGAGAGGTCGCAGTCCTCGAGAGAAGGGCCCAGGCTGCAGTCTCTTCTCTCTCTAACTCCTGTCGCGTTTGGCGCATCGCTATGAACCCCTCCAAATCCTCCCTCCTTCTCTTTGCTCGAGATAATAAACCCTACAGTGTCAACATTCGCATGAACAGGAATATCATCCCTCAGTCTCGCTCGACCCGTTTTCTTGGAATACATTTCTCCAGCAATTTTAAATGGAATAATCATGTAGATGTAATCCGCGCCAAAGCTACTAGGAAACTTAACTGCCTAAAAATCCTCTCTGGAGCCAATAGGTGCGAACCCCATGTAACCCTAAAACTATATTGCACCTACCTTCGCCCTGGACTAACATACGCCTTTGCTGCTTGGGCTAACTGCCCCGAGGCGGTCCTCAGCCAGCTCGAAAGAATCGAACGAGCTGCAATCAGATATGCCTTTTGACTTCCTACTTATTATTCTAACTCCTATATCTATCGAATTAGCGGACTAACACCTCTTCCCCAACACGCCTCTGAATTAGCACTTAACTACTTCAACGACCCTAAAAGGCCAGTAGACATCAAGGAAATACCCTCAAAATTAAATTTAAAATTTACCATTGGGCGCTTCAAACATAGAAAAACCTATCCTTTCCATATAATTCTTTAACGCCTCGGAAAGAGTTGCACTTTAACTCTCCCCTGCCCCCTTTCCCAGCCCCTCCCCTCCAGGTGAGACTACCCTTTCTCACTCACCATCCGTAACCCAACCCTCATCATCTCCATCACCACCTCTCTCTCTCTCTCATTAAAATGGGAAAAAATCCAGACTCTCTCGCTTCTTCACATTCATCCCTGCGGCCACCTTGCACAAGATTTTCTAATCTGCTTGGCATGCACCCTCAAACTTCCCTTCGCGCACCCCCACTAACTCTCAGCTCTTACTTTCGCACGCGGACACCTGATAAGGCCCTTCCGGCCAGCTGGATCCGCAAACGCTTTATGATCTTCGGGGCATCTGTCCTTAACCCATCCGATAGGATGTAAATATAATATCGACTTAAATAAAATCACACCTTACTGACTCACTAAGTAAAACGGCTAGGACCCTATAGATTTCATTCTTCTTCGACCCAGGTGGACCTAAATACTAAGCGCCCCAAAACACTGATACTAACCTAAATAAATTCAGGTTGCTTTCTCAATGAGGCCGCATAGTTCCTTGCTCTTTAATTAAACCCCTAAAGATAAAAAATCTCAAGGGAGAGATCCTGGGGGAGAAGCAGCTCTCTCTCGGGTTGACTTCTCCCCCATAGCCATGAGTCACCTTCTCAGGGCTAAGTCATTAGCTTCGTGAGGGTATTGCTCTCTGCCAGCCCTCATGTTGGGAGGATCTCACCACGGTGGGCGAGAGTCATGTGTCGGTCCACCACATGACAGCGGGGCCCACCATACCTTTAGCTCCTAACTTTATTTAAAAAAAGCATTGGGTGACCCTATTCGTATGGAATTTGAGAACATGAAAAATATCTGCGGACTCAATCATTCGTTTTCCTCATCCTGAGGACATAATGAGGAAACGGTATGACCCGGTATGAATCCCAATAATGGTCCAAGATGGGTGCCAAATGTTGAGCCAAGATGTATTGTTATATTCCTTGGCAACCGATATTGATCCAACGTTCGGGTGCTACTGGTGGTCGGTCCAATACCCTGTACTACTACCCCAGTAGCACCCCAATATTGGATCAATATTGCCTGCCAAGGAATATACGTATTGGCCCAGTATTGCCCCCCCCATCTTGAACCATTATTGGGATTATTACCTTCTTGGGCAGATTTTAGCGCTGCCATTTGCCCTAAATTCATTATCCAGTGGAGGTTTTCCTAGGGTGGGAACTTTTCTATCTGCAGTACTAGTACTGCCTGTACTAGTATAACACTCTGCCCATGCCCGCGTCTGTCCCATGGCTGTGCAGGAACCATAACATAGTATGAGGGTTGTTCTTCCCCTGGTTAATAAACATTTTGATCCAAAAGTTTTAGGACATGACTTACCACTTTTGTGGGCTGGGGTCTTGGAGCTACTTGCCGGGGCCACTTTCAAAGTAGTCCCGCAGGGAGTCCACACACCTCTGCCAGCGGCCCTGTAGCGTCTGGAGCAAGGTGTTTAGTAATACATACATACAAAGTACATTGCAGGAATCAATGTTTTCATGAATTTACCAAGTACTGTATGGTACATTTCAAGAGATGGAGCATTCCTTGATATACTATGGAGTGTCCAAGTATTCAACATCTAATTTTCCCATTATGGCAACAGGATGAGGAAGCGGCGGACTGAGTACACGAATACAAGATCAACTTGATGAAGTAATGGGTTTATATAGGGAATATGAGATTGTTCATGACCTGGGCACCATGAATCTGTCTCGAACACGTGGATAATACAGGTGGTTCCGAAAGTTTCTTACCTGCCCACACAAGATGTTTCTAAATGTCAGCTACATTGAAATACACTGAAAACATTCTGCTTATCTACACGGGCTACATGAAGATCCGGGCGATCTGCCCAGACCAAGAAAATGCTGTGCTGATGCAGGATGGAGGTCAATGCCTCGGAGGTTTGCTTCGACCATTCAAGAGAATATGATACATGTCGTGAAGAATTTACCAAGGAACTGTCCGGACCTTAGCATCCGGAAAACCTGCGGCACAGTTTCCAGTAGAGTGGTTTGGGTCAGCCCCACCCCATAAAACAGGAGTCAGTCATTACAGTAGTACTAAGTGGAGTGAGAAATAAACGTGACGAGCGTCATCCGTTGGTTGGCTGAGAGATTCGGGTTGCTGATCCGAGGTTTCTTTGAGGTCTGCGGAAATCATATCAAGTATGGATGTAGAAGTTGGTACACTCGGTATTCTTGGCCATGTGGAATGAAATTGAATTAACATATTCCCGTCAATCACATCTTCATCTTCATTTTAATGGGTCAGAAACTTTAGATACCATGTAAATGAAGAAATGGCCGCTTTTATTGATGCCACCAATGAGACAAGGCGAGATTTGCTTTGAGGGACGATTCCAGGTAAGAAGGAAGGGTACTTTTTTGTGTACTGTGAGAGAAGCGAGACCCAGACCTCCATCTAGAGGCCTGGAGGAGAATTTCACAATTTCACAAAAACCTTTAAGTGCTACTTGGGCACATTGGACGTCGCATAAGAAGGTATAATATTGGATCGAGGATGGAATGGCAATATTTTGGAGCCAAGATATATCCGATATTGGCTATATTGGACAAGGCATACCTAACGTGCCCAATGTTGATCCAGCATTGAGCCAATATCTGGTGCTAATAATCTGGTCCTAATTGGGTAGGGATACGACTGGAGAACCTTTATTTCAGTGCCACTTAATTCATCAAGGCTCTGAACATAATATATGTACCGGTTCTTAATTTGATGTCATTCATTATGGCCAAAGACTCTTTCCTCACAGTGGACGATTTTTTTTGTAAGTTTCCACCAAACCCTTCGTTATATGATTTAACTCCCTGTAGTGGGGAATAGGGCAGTAGAACATCCAATGTACTCCAAAACAAGTCCGCTTTTTCGGGTATGTGGTCTCCCAATCGAGCAACCCTCTCCTTGCCTTTGCTGCACAAGCTAATCATCTCTTGGCTAATGTCATTCTATTTTCATTGCATATGATACATTATCAGAGCTTTTTCAATAATTCAAGCAGTGAATTAATCTTATCTATCAGACCAATGTGGCATCGTCTCCCAGAAGTCTGCATGCATGGAAGGTGGTGAAGTTGTATTGAAAAAATGCAAGAAAGGAAATAGATTAGAATAAGAAAACACTGGTCCTAGTCTCTCTGCAACGAAAGGAAGTCGCGCCTGAAATGCACAGGACTATTTACTTTTGCAGGACAGTTTAGGGAGTATTTATTAATAATTGGGACAAGGAAGACAAACCCAAACAAACAAACCAAAGGGGATGAAGAAGATGTGGTGCTTTCAGCCATAAGGTAGGGCAGAAATCGATAGATCGCGCCGATGAACTCGAATTTACAGGATGCAGGATACACATAGCCAGTGTTCTGCTACAGTTTTTATCGGCAAAACAGCTCTAATAATGGTTAACATATTAATACTAACAAGGAATTTACTTATACTTATCATTCATCGGCCTGACAATTTTTAATGGAGCGAAGATAGAATGAAAGTAATAGAGGAAGGAATGAGATGAAAACCACTTACGATTCCATTTTAATGTATGATTTCAGAAGCTACTGATTCTCAAACCGATACAACAACTGCAGCTTCTGAAACTGCTACTGATTCTCCAACCGATACAACAACTGGAGCTTCTGAACCTTCTACTGATTCTCAAACCGATACAACAACTGCAGCTTCTGAAACTGCTACTGATTCTCACACTGCTACAACAACTGCAGCTTCTGAAACTGCTACTGATTCTCAAACCGATACAACAACTAGAGCTTCTGAAATTGCTACTGATTCTCAAACCGATACAACAACTGGAGCTTCGGAACCTTCTACCGATTCTCATACTGCTACAACAACTGGAGCTTCTGAACCTTCTACTGATTCTCATACTGCTACAACAACTGCAGCTTCTGAAACTGCTACTGATTCTCAAACCGATACAACAACTGCAGCTTCTGAACCTGCTACTGATTCTCATACTGCTACAACAACTGCAGCTTCTGAAACTGCTGCTGATTCTCACAATGCTGCAACAACTGCAGCTTCTGAAACTGCTACTGATTCTCAAACCGATACAACAACTGCAGCTTCTGAAACTGCTACTGATTCTCAAACCGATACAACAACTGCAGCTTCTGAACCTGCTACTGATTCTCACACTGCTACAACAACTGGAGCTTCTGAACCTGCTACTGATTCTCACACTGCTACAACAACTGCAGCTTCTGAAACTGCTGCTGATTCTCACAATGCTACAACAACTGCAGCTTCTGAAACTGCTACTGATTCTCAAACCGATACAACAACTGGAGCTTCTGAAACTGCTGCTGATTCTCAAACCGATACAACAACTGGAGCTTCTGAACCTTCTACTGATTCTCAAACCGATACAACAACTGGAGCTTCTGAACCTGCTACTGATTCTCCCACTGCTACAACAACTGCAGCTTCTGAACCTTCTACTGATTCTCATACTGCTACAACAACTGCAGCTTCTGAACCTGCTACTGATTCTCCCACTGCTACAACAACTGCAGCTTCTGAACCTGCTACTGATTCTCCCACTGCTACAACAACTGCAGCTTCTGAACCTGCTACTTATTCTGACACTGCTGCAACTGCTACTGAGTCTTCAACGTCTCCAACTACTACAACTTCAACTGGTACAACTTCTCTAACTTCTGAAATTCCTTCAACTACTCCAACCATTGGTAATTATTTTCTTCTATTTGAATCCATAATCTAAGGACCTTTCAAAGAAGATCAATTCATCTCATCTTGGGTATAATTTTAATAGAGTTTATTCATACGAAGGAAAGTACAGCGTACAATAATACCTTGTAATAATTTCGTGATAAGTTTCTGAAAAACAGCGTTTCGCGAATGACCGTGTTGCGAAACAAAAGTGTTGTAGGAGCGTACTTCCTTAGCGGACGTTCGGACATTCCGAGCCAATTGCGATGTATTATTGTTTTTTAATGACACCTATATGAGTCGAGAGTCGTGGTTTGCTTGAGTTTTACATTGAGGTTATGCATTCACTTGTAAAGATGGACTGAATTGAGTGCAATATGATTTACTTTTAGGAAGATTCTTTCATACTCTACAGAACAAGGTAATATCGCTGCCATCCAACTGCAAAAAAATTACATTATTTTTTTGTTCATGGCATTTTTGAAGAAATTTCACAATTTTAAAATTCCTTTTCTTAATACCTTTTATCGTTAAAAATGATCTCAATCCTAGTATTAAATGACTAATTAGGCCTATCTGGGGGTCTTCGCGACAGTTTAGTGAGGACGTATAACTTTTCGTCGATTGTGGGCTGTACAGTATTCCAGTTTTCACGAACCATTTCAGTGTGGACGTATAACGTTAGGCCTTGCTGGAGTTTCTCGAATCATCTCGACTAGGCCTGTGGAAAGAATACCTTCAGGATTGAAATGTATGTTGGACGCCATCCTGTAAATTCAAGGATGCCCGTGCACGATACGTCCATATCCCATCACATCTAAAGGCGACTGGCAGCCACTATTTTAATCTCACCTGTCTCCATGAACTCGACACAAAAATGCATCATACGTTACAAAACAGAAGTTCCAGGTACCAAATAAAGTATAATTAGCATTGAATCCTATGTAATTCCAGCATGATATCCGGCTACTATGTAGGACGGGATTGGAACCTGCCCGCTAACCCTACTTAAATAAATTAGTTAATTTCATTTTTCACAGTGAACTGGTGCATAGCAAATAAAGTAAAGTGCAGGTGTCTCGTTCCACATGTCCACATCTTCCTTTTAGTGTGGCTGTCTCCAACGAAAACCCCCCAGGAAGCGGGGAGAGGATGGGATGGGGGAATACCGGAATGAAATTCACAGTAAAAAAGAAAGAGATTCTGTTCTCAGCAAAACCCATGGAGCCTCAAATTTACTGGAGCGATTTTGCGTTGAGAGGGTAGAAAGCCCAATTTCGTTTCTTCAGATGATCTCAGAGACGAATACGAGGAGGTGGAATTTTGTAACGCAAAGATGTTGAAGAAAGGGAATAGGCGCTACCAAAACCAAATGATTTTTTCCCACCATATCAACTGAAATTTCTATGGTCCAAACCTGGTATCTTTCACGCTTTTGACAGGAATGCATAATTATTTTCGGAACTCTTGAGTGCCTGAGCATTTTCCAAAAGTGAGCCTTATTTTCTGTGCCTCCTGTTGACGCCTGGTAGAAGCATTCCTTGTCCTTCTTTGCTCACATTGTACTGTTACTAGCCACCAATTAGGCATGATTAATTGTTAACCTTCGTTTCCATATTACCATATGGAAGGATTTCTTGCACCATTTATGACGTTAGACAATGCAGCGAAAGAGTTTCGCGCCCATTTTATTTTGCGAAGTTCACAAGGCCCAAATAATCGCGAAATTAAGTTGGCGCGGAACTTTGTAGCTACACGGTGTTTCGCTCGTTAAATCCTGAGAAATATATCTCAACTCGTACCTATCAATTACTAACACGGTAGCGCACATAAATCTTCCCTCATATCTAATAAACAGGGTGAGTCAAAGTTTCGCTGAACGACTTTGAACAGCTATAACTTGGCAAGGAAGGCATTAATTTGCAAACCTTTTGCATAGGAAATAGCGTGCGCTAATTAACAAAAATGCAACATTAAAATAAATCATGTATTTATTTGCCGTAAAAATGACTATAATTACTGGCAATGATATTTGAACACCATCAAGCTCGATAATGCATGCCATCACTGAAGGGAAATTCCAGCAATCCTCCCAGTGATGCATTGTTTCAATTCATTGATCGTGCGAGAATTTTCGGCATATACCTGGTCTTTAAATGAGACCCCGCAGCCAGAAGTCGAGTGGAGTCAGGTCCGTCGACCTGGGAGGCCACTCGACAGACCTGACCCGGCTTATCCACCTGTCTTCAAAGCAAAACGACGCTTCACTTCGGAAAGATTTCCTTCACAGATAGAGAGAAGAAATTAAGTATGGCGACGCATTCCTCCAAAGAAAGTTCATCTGCATTATCCGCATTTGGAGCAGCAAAAAAAATTGCGAATTGTCTATTGGAATGGTCCATTGTACCATAAATATCTCTTTTATGTTGAAAATATTGCTTTTCGTTTTGTGCACGCTCATCCCATTTCTTATTAGTATTTCATGCTAATTTACATGTTGTTTCGTCAAGAAACGCATGCTCTTTCATATACACGGTGATCATAAAGTCCTAATCTATTTAATTGAAAACCTGAAAATTCTTACAAAAATGCATAATGTGCACTTCACAATGTCAATAATTAACTAAATAAAACTAGTGGTAGTAAATTAAAAATCAATTGTTAACATTTTTTTATTTACAGATATTTCACATCATCACCTTCCAAATCTATACATAACTGCAATCGATCCGTTCTTTCCCTGAACATTCAGGATGTTCTGCATTTCAGAGGTTACAGTGTTAACGGCAGCATAGGTACGATCTCCTAAATCTTCAACATTGGGAACCTTCGTGAACCGAAATAATTTGCCCTTCGGGCAAATAAACTTGCTAGTGTATGATAGGCTTGCAATCGGTCGGTAGTGGCGAAGAACCCATTGAAGTGTTTCTCAGTGGGATTTGTACTCTTGGTGGAATTGTAGGCACTAGGAGCAAAATTCAACGCAAAAATCAGCTTTCGTTGTCATCATCACATTGCATCATCTTTCGTACATTTCCTATGGCAGGAGGGAGTTCGAAAATTTATGCAATGCGTACAGATTGCTTTCAAAGGCCTACGAAGCATTTTGCCCCAAGTGTGCAGCGATTTCCAAGAGGTGCGAAAGTCAATGAGAAACACTGTAAATACCCACCATTGTAATCTGCTGAAGAGAGCAAAACCGGCTCTTCGTTATGCAACATTTTCAAATCTTGTTCCTCTTTCTTTTTTGCAACATGTAGATAGCTACCCACAGTGCCGATTGACAGAAAAAGGAAAAGACTACATTGGAGTAATCGCTTGGACCGAGAAAAAGCAGAAGTGCGAGAGATGGGATACCATGCCTCACGGGATTCCAGATGACTTTCTGATCCCCGGAAAAGACCCCGATTACAACTGGATTTTCCCTCAAAAGAAGCCATCCAAGTTCGAGAACTTCTGTCGAAACCCTACGTCCCGAGACCGACCCTGGTGCTTCATTGACGATCCTGTCGAGAAATGGCAATATTGTAATATACCGCTCTGCAAAGACACCAGTATGTTTTTTCCACTTTCTGAGATCCATTGTCCCATACGTTTCTTAGTACTTTGAGGCATTCTATGAAAGATTTTTGATGTAGTTGAACAGTTACTTATATTGTTGAGCTCTCTTGGCAGTAAAATCAGCATTTGTTTCATGTGAAAGCTTGGTGTAAAGGATAATTAAATTTTTTTTCTGGAGAAAAGTCTGGTCCATACTATCTTCAATACCGTAATTGTACTCGGGACTCGAATTAATTCTCTCTAAGTAACCGTCCGGACACATTAGGCATCCCGGAATGCAAGATGACAAGAGGTGGACGAGAGTACATGGGGAAGCGATCGCAGACAGCGTCAGGCAAGGCATGCCGTTATTGGAAGAAATCCTTGTCCAGCAACCCTGAGCGATCTATCTTGTTCCCTGATGGCCTCATTGAAGATCACAACTTCTGCCGAAGTCCTGATGATGACCCGGGTGGTCCCTGGTGCTTCGTAGACCCCGAACCAACTCAAACAGACTGGGAAACATGCGACATCCCTCTCTGTCCTGGGGGTAAGGAATCGGTTCCAATACTTCTTACGTAGAATGACCTGTCATTGGAATTACTGCATGCCCAAAGATAAGTCCAGTCTTCAAGGTAAGAAGGCCACGAGTTGAAGGCATTCGATAATTTAAATAGCAGAATAGCTGACGAAGGTGAAGATGACCAAAATACATAAATCAAAATATCGTAATATAGGTTTTCTAAGTCAAATATGGAAATAAGAAAGACAAATGCTGCTAAAAAGTCAAATGTCTTGCTGTGCGTAAGAAGGGAGCGTAAGAAGCAACATTAGAAAAGACCTGACATTTTATTTTCCTGAAAGGATAATGGAGTTTTCCCAAAAGTGTCCTCGTGTCCATTGGGTGTCAGATAGCAATGGACTGGTAGAAAAAAGTTAAGGGGATCAGCCTAATTGTTGGCGAAATCAAGTAGAATAAGTCAAAAATTAATTATTCACTATGACCTACTGTATATCTTGCCATTCATTTAAATGGAAATATTCTCTTGGGATTATCCAGGAAGCACCACCGGAGATAGGTGAGCCATGTCATCCGACGCGCACACTTTCATAAATCCCAGCCCCTATTGAAGATAACTCGATATCTACAACATTGATAGAGCAACTTACGTCGGGGGTGAAGACCTTGCATATTTGGGTGTCTGCCATATTAGTGATTCCTTAACTCTTTTTTTTTTTTTTTTATCTGGGGCGCACATTAGGACACTACATTTTGAGGGCACACCCAGTCATGTACAGAGAGTTGACAAAATTTTCTGAAAAAACTTTTTGAAGTCCAATTTTTCCTGTTCCTCTGATTGTATGCGCGAAATTTTTATTTATTTATAGGAATGATGATTGACAGTTTGTTTCCTCATCTCGTAAATTTAATCACATTTTATTTCGATTAACACGCGTTTGCAAATGGCCCATTTTATCCACCAACTTCTTGTGCAGAAAACTTGTGGAAAACATAAAGAATTGACTGCAGCTCAACCGGGTGCCATATTTTATTGCCTGGTGACAAATACTGTATGAAATCCCAGTTACTGACCCATGTATTGGAACAATGGGTCCCACACCCTGCCACGAAAAACAGCCCCAATGCATGCGGCTGGGGCTGTTTCGGAAAATTTTTTTTGTGGAAACTTTTGCCAACCCTCTGTACTTACTTTGAATGGGAAACTTGTGCTTGCTTCGCTGAACGCAGCAATTTGATGCGAGGTGGGATTGTCGATGATGCAACTCTCAACTCATTTTCCACTTAGAGAAGGTGTTCCATCCCGTTTTTATTTTTTTTAAGCTTTATTTGTACTTTGTCAACTATAAAATCTCACGGCACACCTAAGCCTTACTCACGGCTCACTGATTGAGAATCATAGTGCTAGATTGTTGGCCTGCTGCACAGTTTTTTATCTGTTACACTTGACCTCGTGCACCGATTCAGTAAATCCCCTCAAAATGTTTTAATTACCAGTCGAATGCTATCTAATGACGTCAGTGGACGCGAGCTGTATGAAATGTACTCTGTCCCTAGCCATCGGACTTTCATAATGCCTCAGAGCTTCCCTAGTGTTCAGAAACACTGCCCCCTCCACGATACATAACTCCTTCAACCTGTCGTTAACCGCTTCTGACCTGAATCACGTGATTCCTCCCTTGTTTAGCCGGCTCGGGATCGCGCATACCGTCACTCGTACCCCCGACCTTGCCTCCCGACACGCCCTAATAGCATGTTTCAGCGTACCCATAATGAGTTCAGAGCCGGACTTCGGAGTATCGTTGGTCGCAACGTGAAGTACCACCGACACTTCCTCGGAGCACACCACCGATCCGACCTTATCCCTAATGTGTTCGATCCTAGCACCGGGGAACTGACTGAAAGAAACCTGAGCTCCTGAATCTTTTTCCATCGCTGCCTCAAGACTCTTGACGTCCGAGTCACCGTTGTTTTCCTCTTGGGAAGCAAGTGATCATGTGCTTCAACAGTTTGACATCTGATACGAAAGGATTTTTTGCATTTGCGAATAGGAATCTGAGGCTGATGAGATCTCTCGCGCACAGCGCCATTGTTTTGGACTTCGATGGGGATGGGGATGGACATTTGTTTCATCCTTATGTGATACGTAGTGTTTACCCTATCAACTGCACTTATTGAATTTGGTGGCTTCGGTTGTGTACCCACACAGCGAATGGAGATGATCCTGGAGATTGGGATTCGAGTTGGCTGAGTGAAGGTGGAGGTGGTGAATATGGCTATGACGATGGAGGTGAAGGTGATTATGGAAATGGAGGTGAAGGTGGAGGTGGACGTGAAGGTGAGCTCTCATGATTTCTAGATGTTATACTCTGACTATTTGGAGGCAGAGGAAGAATATTACCTGCTTCTCTCTCTGGTACGATAAGTTGGGAGAATGTGACCATACTTTGAAGTCCATAACTGATTCTAGATGGGATCAAAAAGAAAAGAAAGGAATAATTCTCCCTGAAATGCCCTTGATTCATTGAAAAAAAAATTTAGCCAATTTTTTTCCCAATTTTTTTTTCAACTTAAAACATATTGGCAAAGGATGAAGGATAATTTGGGGATTGGCGTTCCCTCAAACTGGGGGGAATGTGACCACATCACGACCGCACAAAATACCTTGGGTGTATATGTTGCATTCAAGTTGACCCCGCCGTGCAAGTTAAACTTGCATGGTAATTCATCGTGCAAGTTGAACTTGCACGGCCAATTCGTTGTGGGTTAACTTGGACAGTCCACCGCTGCGTGCAGGTTGAACTTGCATGGGCAAACCTTTGTTCATGTTAACCCGGATTGCACATTTTCGTACAAATTCGGAGAAGCACTTCATCTCGGCCAGAATCATGATCGTATGCCGGCACTTGCTTTATTTTCTTCATCATGGCGCCCTGGCAGGCAGCCTGTCTGTGTTTGTGAGCTCCTTCTTTTAACACTTTTGACTTCTCCCAGTGTTCCACCGGACCCCAGACTCGCCCGAATGTGGCGCGGACAGTGGGTCTCCTGACTCCGTGATCATCGTTGTGCCACCAATCCGATGAAAGTGACATATTTTACCGCCTGCTCTGTGTGCAATGGTCCTGATGAAAAACCATGCAAGCGATCGCCCTCCTTGCGACCCGAACGAATGACCTTGAGACGCAAAAACTGAGGTCTCTCAGGACTTATTCCCATTCTTCGTTATACGAGGTGAAATGTAGTGCAAGGAAAACCCGTTTAGATGAAAATCTATTCTCCCTCCTAAAATCGCTTCGGCTGCTTCCAGCAAAGAGGAGAGGAAAACGTGGGGGGAAAAAGAATGACTGCAAGACCCTCACCAGCCTTCTATGGAACGTAGAGGGATTGAAAAGCATGATCACTCAATGTCCGGAAACAAACTCATGGACGAATGCGAGCCTTCTTTGCCTTACAGAGACTTTCCTCTGCGACCTCGAACCATCAAGCATACCAGGCTTTTACACTTTCGACAGCTATGCAATCAAGCAAAACAGAGGAAGGCCCCATGGAGGGATCACCATCGCAGCGAGACCAGAACTCGAACCCGAACTAATGGCGATGTCTCCGCAGCATGTCGCTATCTCCACAACCATCGGAGAAGTGTTTTGTTTCTACTTCCCACCCAGCTGGGAATCATCTGACATAGGACAAGAAATTGCAACTGCCCTGAGCGCAGGCAAGGCAGACCCCACCCTGAGAATAGTGACGGGTGACTTCAACTGCCGCGTGGACCCAAGCGCTCCCACCACAAAGGGACGGGATTTACTTGACCTAATGCACTCCTTCGGACTAGAAATGGTCAACTACCCTGAGGATCCGACCTATATAGCCCCAAATGGGTCCAGCTGCATCGATCTAGTATTCACCAACGCCATGATATCCAAACACATTACTGAACACAAGATCCACAAATCTGCAAACCGGAAACATCAATGCGTCACAACAACATGGCGCCTGAAGAGACGCAAAAGAATACAAAGAGTGGAAAATCCTCCACGCCTGAAAAGGAAAGTGGATATCGATGCCCTCCTCTCTCATCCGGACTACCCCCAAATAAAGGCTTTCAGCACGATGCACAACGACAAGAAACTGGAAATATTAACACGCATCATCGTCGACTCCACCCCAAAAATCAAGGCGAATAAGCAGATATACAAGAAATGGTTTGACAAAGAGTGCAGGGAAAAGAAAAAGGAAGCCATGCGAGCACTCCATCTCGCCCTATTTGGACACACACCCCTGGCAGACTACAACCAGGTCAGACGCGAATACAAGGCCCTCCTCAAGAAGGCAAAAGCTCAACACGAGGATACCCAGCTTTTAAGGAAGATTGAACAAAGTTACATAACTCCTTGGGCTATCCTCTCAAGGAGGCAAAGCTCCACACCTGCCCCAATCACACAGGAACAATGGGTCGACCACTTGACGCATACCCTAAACCCTCCGACAGATGCACCACAGATCCATGCCCCTGGGAACCTCTTTGAAAACCTCGACCCCAGAGCATGGTACAACCAGCCATTCTCTGAAGAGGAAATCCTGCAAATGCTTCAACGGATGTCCGACGGGAAAGCACCAGGACTAGACCTCATCACGACTGAACAACTGAAAGGCTCGATCCATATCCTCTCAGAGGCGTGGTCGAACCTCTATAATGACATTTTGGTCTCAACTTCCCTTCCGGAAAACTGGCGTATCTCACGGCTAAAAACTCTATATAAAGGAAAGGGGAGGATTGACGATCCTGACAGCTACCGTGGAATAGCCCTATTATCAACACCATTCAAGCTCCTGTCTCAACTTCCCTTCCTGAAAACTGGCGTATCTCACGGCTAAAAACTCTATATAAAGGAAAGGGGAGGATTGACGATCCTGACAGCTACCGTGGAATAGCCCTATTATCAACACCATTCAAGCTCCTAACAGGAATGATCAACCGACGCATAGTGCATCACATCGAATTCCCTCCGGAACAATATGGTTTCAGGAGCGGCCACTCAACCATCCAGCCGATAAGACTCCTCACTGACGCCATCGCTAACCAGCTCAGTAAGACCAGAGGATCTCTCTATGCTGTCTTCGTCGATTTTCGGAAGGCCTTTGACACAATCGACAGGTGCATCCTAATAGACAAGCTCGATCGTAAGGGAATCAAGGGACGCATCCTCGACTTTGATGTTGGTGAAATATTTTTTCGCCGCAGAACTAAAGATCCCTGATAGAATACTGGTTGTGAAAACATTTCGGATGGGGAAGAAAGAGAGCGGGAGGACGCGACCCATCTTTACTGAGGTGGGGCAAGAAGAGGACAGAAACACGATTATGAAAGCTGTTGCCATGCTGACGGAGGCTGAGAGGAAACGGTGCCCGATTGCGGAAGATCTCCCTCCAAGAGTTAGAGAGAAGAGGAGGAAGCTCATTCCGTTTCTGATCGATGCTAGAAACAATAATATGAGAGCCAGATTGCAAGGAAATAGCTTACTCATTGGGGGAGTAAGATATCGACTGGAAGAAAACCAACTAGTGGCAGAAGGAATGAGATAGGAGACCCCTGAACTGTCTTCCATCAGCAGTAAGAACCCCAGAGAAGAACCCACCAAGTTTACAGGAGCGAGAAGTGAGAAGAAACAAGAAGAGGGCATTTTTCAATACTTGAGACCAAGAAACATAAGAAACAAGACACGGAAGGGAGAGGAGACCGAAACAAAGGACATGCACCATGAGGGTGATGATATTGAAGAGACTGAGCACAGCAACCGATGACAAGGGAAGTCGAGTTCGGTGGTCCGAAAAATCTTGTGTGCCAACATTACCTTTCTTTCTTGGAATATAGCAGGTCTGAGTGGGAAACTTAGTGACCCCTTCCTAGTAAGTTACCTGAAGCAATTTGCATCGCAAACCTGAAATCGTGGTTGCTAAAGGGAATGCATCTCGGACTACCTGGTTATAAGACCTTCAGTGTAGATGCGCAGAAGATGAAACAAAGAGGACGTCCGTCAGGAGGCATCTGTGTGCTTGTAAAATATTATATTGATGTTATGTATAACGCCCCCTCTAAAGAATCTGCTTATGTCTTATGGCTAGTATTATGAAAGATCTTAGAAGAACCAATAGTTTGCGGACTCTCTTACAACCCTCCCTCAACATCACCGTATTCTGACGCGAATCTATTAACAATCATGGAAAATGAATTGTATGATCTCTTGTACCGTTATAACCCAGCTCCTGGCTAATGGCAGGTGACTGGAATGTAAGGATAGGAGACTGGCAGAAAACAGCATGTCTCGCTGACCCTAAGATTATTCCCAGGAAAGCATCGGACACCGTGAGATCGAATCATGGTAACGGTGGCTTCCAACAAATGGTGGACAATGTTGATAATCTGCTTCTTAACGGTCGGTTTTCAGACAGCGAAAGGGCATTTACTTACCTGGCTGCCACACCCCAATCTACCGTTGATTATTTTGTTATTGCTTCCGAATTATGGGATTATATTGAATACTTATTTATCGATTCTAGATACGAATCGGATCATTTATCGTTGGCTCTATCTCTCTGCTCGCCTCAGCACAGTAAGAAAGTAGACCTGGTACAGGAAGGCCAAATCAATGTGTTGGTCAAAGGAATTAATGGAAAATATGAAAATCAGGAGAAAACTCCCAGAATATAAGATGACACTGGCGAATCTAAAACACTTAACCAGACCCACGGAACTTTGGTCTCAGGATCAGGTCGAAAAGATATCCAAGATGTTCAATACATTATTAATCATTGTGTCTGCGTCCTTTGGGTTAAGGGAAAATAAGCTTCGGCAAGGGGAGAAGGTGATTAGTGCAGAATGGTCTGATGTAGACTGTAATGTACTGCGCAAGAAGCCCATGAGTTATCGGAAGATATACCGAAGAACCCTCTCGGAAGAAAATCTTAGAACATACCTCGAAACCAAGAAAGAGTACCGGCATCTTTTGCGAATAAAAAAACGAGAATGGGGAGAACGAATGTCGAATTTACTCAACGACTGTGCATCAAATAGAAGGACGGCGGACCTTTGGGCTGTTTATATTAGGATTAGGATTCGAGAAATGGTTGTTATATTTCGAAGGAATGTGTTATTCCAATTCCAGTCAATTGTACAGGCCGATACCGCACAAGTTTGATTATATTCTGGACGCGCCCATCTCCCCACTAGAGGTCTCAGATGTCTTGTTAGAGGCTAAAAAGAGGAAAACCCCAGAAATTGATGGCTTTCCAAATGAAGTGTTTACGTTTCCAGCACCCGATCTGGTGGAAGGTCTTACAGGGTTCTTTAATTACATCCTGGAATCTGGTTTCTACCCCGATGAGTGGAAGGTGGGAATCTTGCAGCCAATCTATAAGGGCAAGGGAGATAAAGAATCCCCAGAAAACTACTGTGGTATCGCATTATTACCATCAATCGCGAAAAGTTTCACGAAGATTCTGGACAAACGAATCAGGAGATGGGCTTCCCACTACAACATCATGACCCCCTTACAAACTGGATTTGGTTCTGGATTTTCAATTATGGATAATATCTTCATCTTGGACACATTAATCACCAAATACTGCAGGAGAAAACGTGGCAGGCTCTATGCAAGCTTAATAGATTTTCGGAAAGCATTCGACTCATTGATAGGAATGTTCTTTGGCCAAAATTAGCAGACATCGGAAACAGTCACCAAATGCTGAGAATCTTAGTCGCCATGTACGTAGATGCTCGGTTCGCTGTAAAGATGACCACCTCTCGTTTGTCACCAAGTATTGCCTTACCAAAAGGGGTGACACAAGACTGCCCAATTTCGTCAACATTATTCTCCTTCTTTATCAATGACTTTCCAGATATATTGATGGCCGAGAATCTCCTATTCAACAATCTGGTAGGGCGCCCTATTCCATGCCTTCTATATGGGGACGACTTGGTTTTATTATCTTTAATACCTAAAGACCTGCAGATTAGTTTATACATCCTACTTCAATATAGCAAGCTCAACAGACTGGAGGTGAACGGCGGCAAGTCAATTAATATGGTTTTTAAAAAGAGTAATGCATTGAAGAGAGATGAAGCATGGATTTATGATGGGGATAAAATGCTAACAGTGACTAGTTTTCAATATCTACCGGTAGAAGTGCATTTTTCTATGGACGGTTCCTGGCGGAAACATTTAAGTATCGCGTCGGGAAGGCCAAAACGGCCACCGCCATGACCCGGAGGATTGTATGGCAGGCTCACGGTTTGTCTACCAGTCATGCCCTTGATATGTTCAATGCCCTTATCTCCTCAGTGGCCTTATATGGGGCGAAAATTATTAGAGAGGTCCCATGGAAAAAACTGGATACTCTGTTAGTCCAGTTGCTCCGGTTGCTTTTCAAACTCCCCAAAAGCTTCCCCAGAGCACCGTTTCTTTGGTCAACCGAAGCAACCTCTGTGCAAGCGCTGGCGGCGGCTAGACATTTTAAATTCTGGATGAGAATTCGTGAGTTGGAGGAGGCTCGCCCAAGTTCATGGGCGCTAAAAGAACAAGGAATTTTACTGCGTAGAGTGAAGGATTGCTGGTTTAAGGTGTTTAGGAGTGAATTCCAACATTATGGACACAGCTATGTCTGGTACTTCGGTCCCCCAACGAAAAGTTTTGTTCCTGTAATGCTAAGATCAATCCGGACATACCATTTAGTACATACCATTTAGTAGAGGCGATTAATTGAGACATCATCCTCATCCCAGCAAGTACTAGGCTACTGGACTCGGAACACTTTATGATCTCCCTTCGCAAAACAGACAGAAAAATAGGCATATGCTGACATTCTTGTTTGCACTTTTTCGTTGGTCACTTTCGATCATTTGTGGGAAGGATTTCATCAGCCCAATATGTTATCAGCCCGATTCTCGCCTTCACCTATTAAATGAATGCCACGAAATAAAAAATATCTCACAATCGATCTGAAAAATGACATGGAAGGCCTGAAGGACGATGAGAGCCTATTGGCGTACCTAAGCAATATATCAAAGAAGAGGAGTAAAGAAGAGAGCTGACCTCCTTCCTTCACCAAGCCTACAATCACAGACGCAAGGCAATTCGTCTCAGCTCGGATTACGATAATAATATGAACGTCAATACACCCCAATATTAGTAGTAATGAATTAAATTCGATCCTAGAAGCCTGCGCTTGTAAAGGAATGTTTTTTCATGTTTCAGCTTTTGCCACTGGTATATGCTGAATAAAGATGAATTGACCAATTGTATAGAGAATCGTTCTGCTGATGTGCAATAAACTACATGAGGCCTTGAGTCGGTGGAGGATATGGAGGAAGACCTTCGAGGGAGTTTCCACCTTGTGAAAGGTTCTCGATTGCCAGTATGAGGAACAGCACTGCTTGAGGACTTGTCATACTGTGCAGCAAAGGGTTTTTCTTAGTGAACGCCATTGTGTCTTCTGAAGCCGGTGTCACTTGCGTGTGTCCACTGGACGATGCCTAGGAAGAAAATGGTACTGTCACCTGCTAGGTATTTAAGCGGGAATATTCCCGGGATCAATATAAGACGGGGGTTTACAGGTGTTGAGTTTGAGGCAGCACGTTCAAATAGTAATCACCCATCTCCATAATTAAAGGTAATGGAAATTTAAGATTCTAACAAAAGTCTCAACGAGATCCCATAACCGTAAGGGCAACGCAAAAGGAAAGAATGAAAGGATAAGTAACAAAAGCGAACACAGCACACGGAACACAGAAGAACAGTAACAAATCCAGGAGAGACTCCCCTTGAAAGGCTAAAGACTATATATGTGAACTCTTGATATGTAGAAAATGACCTAAGTTCCTAAATCCACCCCCCATTAGCCCAGGCCCACTCAGCACGTTTATCCTTCGCCGTTCCCGCTCCGACTCTCCCTTTGACCTCCCCCTTCTCCTTATATCCCCGATCTCTTCAGGATTGGAGGTTCCGCCTTTGAATGCAACAGGATTCTTCATTGTATGAATTTTACTGGATTGAAAATCGCTTCTGGATGGCCCTTGGAGGCGTTGGTGAAATTGCTTATATGGTACGGATGAGTTATTATGGCATCTTCACCTTCGGAACGGCTAAAATTTATGGACCGGGGTGTCAAGACACTCGATCCGGAAAAAGGTTAGCACAATTTCTAAGACAAGAGATAACAAAAGAACAAGAGTTCCTTGAGGTGAGACATAATTATCAATAATACAGAATAGAAAAAGTTCCTCGCAGAGCAAGGCATAAGAGCAAGATAGAGGAAGTGTGGTTTTGGGGGCGAAATGTGGGACAATGTGGATCTGGGCGTAAATATGACAGCTTTTTCCAAGTTTTCTCCGTGCATGTTCAGCGAACCCTCTTGGAACTCGAATAGACACTTGGGACTTGGGACACTTGTACGAGCTTGTACACCAAATTGAATCAAGGTCGCTCGAATTCTTGGTAGGTTTTTTTTTTGGCGATGTTACAGATTGGGCAAAAGACCAGGAGACCCAATCGGTTAGTATTAACACGTTGACGACCAGCCTATTTTTGCTTGTCCGCCGCGTGGGACCACGAGCATTTTTTTTGTCAAAAAATGCGTCCTGCCATCAGGACGCATGGTCCCAGAAAACATTTTTTTTCGCCGAGTTTTTTTAAAATGTTAATTTTTTTGGAATTTTTATCAATAATTACGAAATCATAATCTTCTGGAACGTTCTCAACAGTTCCAGAGGGTATTCATTGAAAAAAAAAATGCATCCTGGCATCAGG